GCAACCTCCACCTCCCAGGTTCAAGCCATTCTCTGCCTCAGCCTCCCGAGTAGCTGGGATTACAGTTGCCCGCCACCACATCTGGCTAATTTTTGTATTATTAGTAGAGACCAGATTTCACCACCTTGGCCAGGCTGGTCTTGAACTCCTGACCTCATGATCCACCCGCTTCAGCCTCCCAAAGTGCTGGGATTACGGGCGTGAGCCACCGCACCCAGCCATAGATTGGAATTTAAACTCAGTTCTGTGTTGCTTTAAAGCCAGCTTCCTCCAATTTTATCACCCATTTGTACACATTTTATGGTACCAAAGTACAGCTTCACTCTTGTATATTCTTCCTTGTTTCATTTTTCCCTGTGGCGTTTTTAAGATGTCTTAGGTTATTCTGAAGCTAAAGATTGTAGAATAGTACTTTGCAGTAGACTTTTCTCTCATGATTCAATTGTCCAAGATGATGGCCAATAACTATACAAGGTTATCAAGGCCTTGAAATATGGCTAGTGCAACTCAGGAACTGAAGTTTAATTTAATTTTTATTTAAATGTCGGTGGCTACATGTGTATTTAAATGTATTTAAATGTCAGTGGCTACCTTATTGGGTGGTACAGTTATAGAGGATATGAGTCAAAGAGACTGAGGGTAAAGTTTTCCTTATAACTATTGCCTGAAAGAGCACCTTAAGAAGCATCTTTGCATTGCTACTTCCCTCTCTTCCAAAGCAACTAACATCTTTCCTCTAATCCTAACCTCATCTTTCCCAAGGATGTTGTCTTAGGTCAGCAGTTCTTTGCCCTGTCCTGTGTTTCTGCCTTCACATTCTTTTTGTGTGTAACATACCCTTAGTGCCATCTCTCATTTTGGATGATGATTAAAGCAGAAAGTAGAGAGAGGAAATGTCAGAATCCAGGATAATGGATGAGCATTAGATTAGTGACACAGTTTGGTGAGTTTTGACAAATCTGACCACCGCTTTAATCGAGATGTAGAATATATCCATTGCTCCAAAAAATTCTTTCATGGCTTTTGCAGCCGATCCCCCTCCTCACCCCTAGCACTAGCAACCACTGATCTGCTTTCTGTAACTATAGTTTTGTCTTTTCTAGAATTTCATCTAATACACAAAGTCTTTTGTGCCTGACTGTTTTTTCCTAACATAATGCTTTTGAGGTTCATTTTTGTTGTTGCAAGTGTTAGTATCAGTAGTTCATTCCTTTCTAGTGCATAGTTTAGCTGTCGGCCTGAATTTGGATGGTTTATGTTTTGAATGTAAGCCATTTTCTTTGTGTGGTTCTCTCACAATCAGTATTTTCCCCCTTACATTTCCAGCTTCTTTTCCAGCCCTGAACTCTAATCTCTGTCACATTTTGTTGATGAGGCTGTAGTTTTTCCCCGGCTGTTTTGCAGCCATTGCCGTGTGTGGTAGTTGGATACTGTCTCCAAGCTAAGAAGCCAAAAATTCACAATTTATACTTCTTCCATTTGCAATTTTTTGAAATTAAACTCTCTTACTGTTTCCGTCTATATTTTGGACACTTTCCAGGATTTGACAGTTTTTAAAATGTGATCTTTATAATTCTTATCTGCCAGGAGTTCACAGGACCACTTCTCTGCCGATAGTGGAAACTGAGTGTCCTCCTGAAAAGCTTTTGGGATTAAATAAGTATCTTTATATGACTGTCTTTGTACACAGAAGTATTTGGTTTAATGTTTTTGACCATATTTTTTAAAATGTGGATGTTTAAAGAAATATTGCCTTTTTAAATTTTTACCATAAATGAGGACTCTCTCATTACTACCTATTACTTCTTTTATTATGCCACTATTGCTTTCTTAAACTCCTTCCAAAACAGATTACCTGTTATTCCACAAACTCATGTTGAACTTTCCTATCACTGTGCCTTTGCTTTGATTTCATGTTGTTAGCCACAATTTTTAAAATGTAAATTTTATGTATTTGTGGACATTGTAGATTTTATGTTTTTGTAGAAAGGTAGAATTCATGTCTTTGACCATAATTTCAAGAATGTAAATATTTACACGGATACTGTCACTTTTTTTCCTAAGCATAAATGAAGCCTGCTTCTCATCACTCTCATTTTACTACCTTTTCACTCCCCTATTATTGGTCTCCTTCCAGACTGCATTGTTTTCTATCTCACAAACCCATGATGAACTTTTCTCCTGTCCCTTTGCTCATGCTGTCCTAGCTTCCTGAAATGCTCTCCCTTATTTGCCCTGAATTTTCAGCCTGTTGAATGTTCTTCTTTTAAAGCACATGTCAAATATGACTGTCTTCATTATTTTTTTCATATACTTTACCTTTGAATACAGCTATTAATGTTTTGTTCTTAATCTCCTCTACTTAATATTAAACATCTTATTTCTATAAGTGTTTTGCATGTTGTGGTTGCATGGTATGTCTTTAATTGGCCATAGTAACTACATTGTCTTAAATTTAAACTTTCTTTGGCCGTGCGCAGTGGCACACGCCTGTAATCCTAGTACTTTGGGAGGCCAAGGTGGGGGGATCACTTGAAGCCAGAAGTTTGAGAACAGCCTGGCCAACAAGGTGAAACCCCATCTCTACTAAAAATACAAAAGAATTAGCCAGGTGTGGTGGCGCATGCCAGTAGTCGCAGCTACTCAGGAGTCTGAGACATGAGAATCACTTAAACTCAGGAGGTGGAAGTTGGAATGAGCCAAAATTGCACCACTGCACTCCAGCCTGGGCAGACAGAGTGAGACTGTCTCAAAAAAATAAAATAAAATAACCTTCTTGCAAAATATTTAATTTTATAGCCATGTTTTAGTTTTCTTAGGAGGAAAATAAGGTCAATTGTAAAGTCATATATGACTATAGAGAAGTTACACTTCTAATTCATTTATCTTAACCATTATTACATAACAAAGAGAACTTTAAAGCATAATGAATTATTTTCTTAGCAGTATTTTCATAATGTTTGATATTATGCTACTAGAGTTCCCCCTCTCTATACAATAGGACAAGCACAGAATTTAGACTCATTCACAATCTATTAATATGTTTTTATTTTGGAAAAACTGGAAACAATTTCTACCATTTATGTGCTAGTCTTCATAAGAAATTTGTGTTTGTTCTGAGTTGTTCCTTGTATTATTGAGCTAGCCAAAGAAAACACCCTGAAACCAATTACTTTACTGCTAATTTATATAGCTCTTCTCCTCAGGATTCTGGAATACAAAATATGTTGTTGCTGTTACGTTTCAAATAGATTGCTGTAAACTTAGGAGATTTCAAACCTTCCTTATAAAGTATTATACATTCGATTTGGTGACTGAAGAAGTTATAAGGAGATATTCTGACACCTGATTTTTAATTCCAATTATGATCACCTGGAGGTGACTTGACACAATTACCATCTCATGTGTATACATTAAACATTGACTTCCTTTGGCTCCAGGAAGTGTCTACCTCTCTTCTCTCTAGAGCCCTAAACATACTTCCCATTCTCAGATTCTGGAACCCCTAGTGCTGCCACTGCTCAGAGAAAATATGTTTCACATATTCCAGATTCAAACTGAAAATATAATTTCACCAAAGAAAGTTTATTGGGTATTAGACTAGTCTTTCCATATCCCTGGGTCAGATAGGCTTTTGTGGGCTTTTCTGGGAACCTAACTCTGTTTATAAGGTTGTTCATGTGGGAAACAGTGTTTTAGGTCTCAAACAGCTAATTAAGAAGTGAACTTTTGACAATGAAAATCCAAAAATTAGAGCCATCTGACATGACACCAGAGAAAATTGGGTAAGGTAAAGTACCTCTTTGGAAGTCTTAAATTGGTCAATAACCATTGAGGCTTCATTGCCTGAGATGAGGATATTATCTAAGAAAAAACCCATTGTCAACCATATTTATTTATTCATTAATCTATTCTGCAAAATATTTGATCTCCACCTATGTGCCAAGGAGTAGTATACGTGCTAGAGGTGGAGCAGTAAATAAAATGATATCCCTGGCCTCAGGGATCTTATATTCTTCTGGGAGAATATACATAAAGTAAAAATTCTATAAATCATTTCCCTGTTTCATATATGAATTATGTTGTGAGTTGTAATACAAATAAAATTTGCAGCACATTATTCTGCCCTTGTAATACAACATTATAGGTTTTTGGGCTGAGTAATAATAAGCACTTTGATAGCAATTAGTATGAGCCAGGTTCTGTCCTAAGTGTTTCGTCAGTATATTAGCTCATTTAATGTTTATAGGAACCCTATAAGGTATGATTAATATTATCCTCATTTTATAGAGGAGCAAAGTGGGACACAGAGAGATTAAGTCCAGGGTCATTTAGTGAGTATTAAAGTTAACATTTGGGCCACCACAGCTTAACCCCAAAGCATCTATGTGTTTAACCATTGTACTCTACTATCTTACCTTTTAAAATTGATGTTGTGACAGATTTTCATATCCTTCATGAAATTTTCTTGGTGGTTATCGCAGTAATCACTTATCTAAAGCATTTTTATTTCTTTAACATTCTAGGTTATTTTGTCATGTTTCATACTAAACAAACTACTTCCTCTGTTTCTGATGCTAAACTAAATAAAATACAAATTGTATCTAGTATCATCATTTCTATCAATTCATATTTATCTTTAGCATTAGGTTTAGTGTTGTATACCAGAATCCAAAATAAGTTGTTAAAATGTTGTTTTAGATCTGCTTTCTCTACCTTCTAAAAAAAACAGAATTTAGTAGCAAAATTGTTGGGTTTCAGCTTATTTCATTTTTCAAAATTATAATAAAATTGCCAATAAATAGTAAAAGGAAGAAAAAAGGGAAGTAGAATAAAAGTCCTGAACTCTAAAAGCCAGATCATTTCTGTAGCATATAGACTTGCAGAATTTTGTCTAAGGGGTTAGTAAATCTGATTTTACTTTGCTTATTAATATTATGTCTATATACTTGATATTATTTTTAAATATTGATTTATTGATCTCTCCTCTTTCTTTTTAGTATACTGTGTGGAATTTTGTTCCAAAAAATTTATTTGAACAGTTCAGAAGAGTGGCAAACTTTTATTTTCTTATTATATTTTTGGTTCAGGTAAGCTTTATTACTCAATATTAAGTTTGTAAACATAGTTCCTAAAAATATGTCTTAGAACAAAGAAAAATTATGTTTTGTTAATCATTTGACCATGTGACCATTTTTTCTGCAGTGCTTCTGCATTGTATTCGGTGAATACAAGTCATATCTAGATTTCTAAAAGAAATAGCCTATAAACTTTAAGATCAATTGTATATTGTTTCATCAATAATGTACTGTAGTACTTAGATTAACTATAATCTTAGCTAAGAATGTAACCTAACGTCTTTCAGATATTCTGCCTCAGAACATAAATATTTAGACTTTTAATATATAGTGCATGTTTTTGGTACGTTTCTGCCTATGGAATCATCTTTGTACAAAGTAAACTTTTTGGCTTTTAATTTTTTTATTTAAATTTAACTTAAATGTAAGTTATTTAAAAGAATTGTAAGTTTTAAGTATCCCTGTGGGTATAGATTTTTTTCCAGGAGACAATTTTCTTTGCTTAAATCTGTTTCTATTATAGGCTGTTAGACAGTGTCTTAATTTTCACCCTGTGCTTAAAAGATTTTATATATATATGTACATACACACACACATATATATAAAATCAAGAGAACAGCCCATGAAACATGAGTATAAATCAAGATTTTAAAATAGTGATTGCCATTTTCCTTTAAAGAAGTTATTCTTTTCTGATAAAACTTTGCAATTCCAGTGTAGCATTGAATGTATAAAACTCTGAACTCTTCTCTCAGTAGAACCTGGGATTTCAAATGAAAAATTGAAACTTGTCAAATATTCATTTTAATACTTTAGGAAACATTTGCTTTTAAAAAAAAAAATTGCTCTCCTTCATGAACAGAGAAGGAACTTCTGATTTTCTGCCCATAGACTGTTAGCTTCATTTTCTTGGAAAAGCAAGAAATGTATACTAACCATATCCACGTAACATCCATACGTTTGTGAAATCACTAGCTAAGATGAATTCAGCTTGTCTGGGGAATAGAACAAATTTAATTGGCCTATCTGGAGTAAAGGAACATCATTTTCCTAGTTATCTCCCTCTGGCTCTGTTGGATATAACAAAATCACTTATAGAAAAAAATTCTTTCCATAGTCCCATTCCTAGTTTTCTTTCCCTAGTGTAGATGTCATTCTGAATCCAAGGGTAAAAATTGCTGACAGACTTTTCAGCATTTATCAGGATGTACAAAGAAATGTGAAATGAGATCTGAGTAGCTGTAGTTCCACTCCTTGGCAAATATTGAAGAACTTAGGGACTCTTTGTGTTTGGTACCGAGTCCAATCTAGCCATGTATGTGGAAAGGCAATAGATTTAAATAATATTCCAACCCCACATAATAGCCAACAAAGTGAAGTTGTAAAATTGTGAACTAAAGTATACTCGCTGTGTAATGTGAAATTTTACATGTTAATAGTATGATGTACACAATATAAAAATATATATTCTCTGTTCTTTTTTATAAATCTAGCTTATGATTGATACACCTACCAGTCCAATTACCAGTGGACTTCCATTATTCTTTGTGATAACAGTAACAGCCATAAAGCAGGTATGAGATACTTTCTCTTTTTATTTTCCTCCAAGTCATTTAGAAATTGCTAAATATTTCCACTCCAAAGAACATTTATTGTTGTGAAAATAATTTCCGTGAGAAAGCAGCAAATTTGTCTGGTATGTAGTAAAATTAAACTGAATTAGCCACTCTGTTATATTTCAGGTACCTGGTGACTCATGGGATGATTAACATCGTTAAAATATGTTGTTCCCTTGACAGAGCTAGAAAGCATCCAAAAACAAGTATTGTATATATAGAAACCAATTTATGTATGAAATAGATTTCTTAATTATTATCTTTGTAGAGTTTGGTGATATTTAAAGGAAATACAATTCAAAAAAGATATGTTTATAGAGAGCAGGGTATATACTTCTGGTGTGAACATTTGTGAGTAAAAATTATGTAGTTCAAAAATTAGGGTGTTGTGGCACATACCTGTGGTCCCAGCTACTCGGTGGGCTGAGGCGGGAGGAACGCTTGAGCCCAGGAGGTGGAGGCTGCAGTGAGCCATGATTATGTCACTGCACTCCCACCTGGTTGACAGAGTAAGACCCTGTCTCCAAAAAAAAAAAAAAAAGGAATCCAGAAGATGCTTTTGCTGTAAGCCAGAAGATGCTTTGCTGGTCATACAGTTTTCAAAGAGAAAATTTGATCCACAAAGATTTTCTCCTTAACTTAAAATTTTGAGACTCAGGGTTTTCTCTTTTGCAACAACTATTCCTAACTTTTTCTCATTTAATAAATACACAGAATACTTCCATACATTGTTCAGATTTATGTGTCTATTTAGTGCTATAGATCAATAGAACAAATTTTGGAAAAATTGTAAAAGTGAAAGTTACCATGTTCCAACCTTTCTTTCTTGTCTTCTCCCCTTTTAGTCTGCCTTTTCCCTTTGTACTTCTATCAAAATAGGAAAAGGCTCCATTATTAATTACTTACACTATAATATGAATGCGGTTGTCAGTTGTTTGCCTGCTTTTAGGTTCTCCCAACTGTATTTACATATTAAGTCTTCTCTCCAGTTGTGTAATGCAAGATATAGTGCTCTAGGAAATAAGTCTTTGCCCTCCGTGATTCTAAAACCTATGAAATAGGAAGGTAAGACCAAATATAAAAATAATTATGGTTCTGTAGAGTAGTAGTAAAATCCAGGGAGCTGAGGCTAGCTATTTAGAGGAGGAAGGGAACACTTCATTTTCATCTGGATGATCAGAGATGATTTTGTGGAGGAAATATTATTTTTACATAAATTTAAGAATTTATTCATGGTAAGGGTCATACTTCAAATCTGGGTAAAATATTGGACAATAAATTGTGATGTGATAATCATTTGAATATTTAGAAAAAATAGTTGGATTCATACTTCATACCATATAGCAAAATAAAATACATTTGGATTATTAATGTAACTACAGAAGTAGTAGAAGTAAATACAGATGAAATGTTATCTCATTTTCAATTTGGGAATTAATCAGTTAATCTACTGTTGTTAGCAAGGAAAGAAATCATATAGGAAAAATAAAATGTGAGTGTTTTTAAAAAGTCTGAATAATATTAAAAGGAAACTGAAACATTTGTGTTATGTATAACAAAGGGCCTATGCCCTTAATTTTATCTTTTTTTTTGGAGACAGAGTCTCATTCTGTTGTCCAGGCTGGAGAACAGTAGTGCAATCACAGCTCATTGCAGCCTTGACCTCCCAGGCTCAGGTGATCCTTCCACCTCAGTCAGCTAATTTTTGTATTTTTTTGTAGAGACAGGGTTTCACCATGTTGCTTGGTCTGGCCTCCAACTTTTGGGCTCAAGCAGTTCTCTCGCTTCAGCTTCCCAAAGTGATGTAATAATAGGCGTGAGTCACCATGCCCAGCTGATCTTAATTTTAAAAGATATTTTACCAAGAGCACATACCTTTTTCTTCAACATAAATAAGTGAAAAGGCATAGATCATCTCCAAGAAAATAAATGCAAATTGCTGACAAATAGATGAAAATATGAATTCTCATGGAGGAAATATTATTAACATGAGTTTAGGAATATGGGTAAAATGACAGTTGATGAAGAAGATGAGGTAGAAATGAACGACCTGGGCAAAGGCCCAAGTGCAAGAAGAGGCAAGACCTATTTTGGGGAATTGTAAGTCGAACTAATGTTTGATCCTATTTAGGAAAGTACTACAAGATAATAGAAGTGTAGTTTGGTTCTAAATTAAGGAAGCCAGAAGATGCTTTGCTGTAAGCATTGAGAATCACTGAAGGGGTTTTGAGCAGGATAGTGAATCAAGACAATGCTTTGGGAAGATTAATCTGGCAGTAATGTGTAGGATGGATTAGAATTTATGAGCTTGTATTAAAAAAAGATAATGTTTGAATTATTGCTCTGCTATTAATGTCATCTGACTGTAAAGGAAAGTGTGCTTTTGACAGTTTCAGAAAAAATATTTTGACTCTCAATTAAATTTCTCTAAAATGACATACTGCTACTTAAATAAGGCCACATAATTTAGGTGTCTAAAGAGTACTTTCCCACAAGGTTTCCACCTGAAAACAGTATACCTTCAAAATAGTCTTTCATATTTTGCTTTTTATTTTATAATTTCTTAATATTTTAAAAATAATAGATGCACATATTTTTTTAAGGGAAACAGCACAAAATAGCATATAGTAAATCTTAGACTCCTAATCCCCAGTCTTCTAGTTCTCCTACCCAGGGAGCAATTATTTGTAAGTTAGTCCAGATTACCTATGCAAAGTGTTCACATAGGCAAGCATACCTTTTCACAAATGGTAATGTAGAACAAAACGTGTTCTGTACCTTATCTTTTTATTCACTTATTACTCTCTCTTAGATATCATTCCATTATCTGTACTTGTCCTGTATCTCCGAGTTCTTGAATTTTCGTAAAATGGCACAAGAAGTCTTTTCCATTTGAAAAACATCACCATTCCTTAATATTTAATCAAAATATTCTTTGTGAAATGCCTGTGTCTCTTTCCTTCCTAATGATGATCCATACAGGCTAACGTATTTTTTGTTAAGCACAGTTGACCCTTGAACAGTGCAGGGGTTAGGGGAACCCCTTGTGCAATTGAAGATTCATGTATAACTTTTGACTCTCCCAAAACTTAACTACTGATAGTCTGTTGTTCGTCGGAAGCCTTACCAATATCATAACAGTAGTTTATCACACATTTTGTATGTTATATGTATTATATACTGTATTCTTAAAGTCAACTAGAGAAAAGAGCATGTTATTAAGAGGATCATAAAAAAGACAATATATTTACTATTCATGAAGTGGAAATGGATCGTCTTTGAGGTCTTCATCCTTGTCTTGACATTGAGTTGACCGAGGAGAAAGAGGAGCGGTGGGTCTTTCTGTCTCTGGGTGGCAGAGGCACAAGAGGTGGAGGAGGTGGATAGGGAGGAAGATAATTTAGGAACACTCAGTATAACTTTTAGTGAAAACAATCCATGTATGAGTGGACCTGTGCAGTTCAAACCTGTGTTATTCAAGGGTCAACTGTACTTATTATAATTCTGTCAGTCTACTGTTTAAGAAAGTAAAAGAACACAATCTTGGTTCCAAAAATCTGCTCATTTTTTTCTACTTATTGTCTGTAATGCTCTGTGAATTTATGCTTTATGATTAAAATATCATTTATACATAGAAACAATAGAATTTAGTGATTGAGTAGATGTTAGGAAAAGGGTAGGAGTCAAGAATGACTCCCCAGATTTCTGGCAAGAACAGCTTGGTAGATGGTGATGTCATTTGTCAAGATGGGAAACATTGGACATGCAGCACATTTTCAGGACATCATCTGTTTGGTTCTGAATATGTTTAAGACATTTATGAGACAATAAAATTGATATATATTAATAAAGCAATTAGATATTCAAGTTTGGAGTTCAAAAGAGGTATATGGCTGGAGATACACATTTCGGAATTACCAGCATATTTATACTATTTGAAGACACAGGGATAGAAGAAATCTCTTAGTGCGAAAGAGAAATGTGAGAAAAGGATCCATAAAGGTGACATAGAAGGAGCCTTCGTAAGGACATTTAGAAGAAATAGGCCAGGCGTGGTGGCTCATGCCTGTAATCCTAGTACTTTGGGAGGCCGAGGCAGGTGGATCACGAGGTCAGGAGATCGAGACCATCCTGGCTAACACAGTGAAACCCCGTCTGTCCTAAAAATACAAAAAATTAGCCGGGCATGGTGGCCGGTGGTTGTAGTCCCAGCTACTCGGGAGGCTGAGGTAGGAGAATAGCATGAACCTGGGACACGGAGCTTGCAGTGAGCTGAGATCGCACCACTCCACACTCCAGCCTGGGCGACAGAGCGAGACTCCGTCTCAAAAAAAAATAAAAAAATAAAAAAATAAAATAACTAGAGGTCCTTTGAAAGCCAGGAAAATGTATATAACAAAAAAGAACCAAGTGTTTCCAGTAGGAACAAATGTCAAATACCTATGAGTGTATGCAGCCAAATAGCCTAATATGATTCTGGAATGTAGTGTTTTAGGGAAGATTTTTTCTTATTTGATAAAAGTATCTTCAAATTATACTGAAAAATTATTTTTTACCCTTTGGATATTTACAGGGATATGAAGATTGGTTACGGCATAACTCAGATAATGAAGTAAATGGAGCTCCTGTTTATGTTGTTCGAAGTGGTGGCCTTGTGAAAACTAGATCCAAAAACATTCGGGTATGCATCTGGTAAATAATGGAAATCAGTTTTATCTTGATATCACAGGACATAATTCTAATCTTGATATTACGTTTTAATTAAAAGCCTACTTTCCTATGCTAAAATACGGTGATAGGCTGCTTATTTAGAGCCCAATAAAAGTAAGTCCTTGCCTTTAAAATTTATAAATTCACTCTTCCCCAAAATTCTTTATAGGTGGGTGACATTGTTCGAATAGCCAAAGATGAAATTTTTCCTGCAGACTTGGTGCTTCTGTCCTCAGATCGACTTGATGGTTCCTGTCACGTTACAACTGCTAGTTTGGATGGAGAAACTAACCTGAAGGTTTGCTTGCATATGTTTGAGTATTGCTCTTGGTGAACAAAATGTCTTTGAATTATAATTATACTTTCCTTTGGTTAAAGTAGTAAAGTTTGACTAGATTAAGGGGAAGTTTTAAAAATTACTATTTCAAAAATTAAAAGGTTTTAAGAAAGAATTGATGTTATATCTTTATTTCAAGGGTAGCCTCACGTGGGTTTAATCCAAGTTAAAAACAAAGTGTTTTTAGGAAAAATACAATCTTTTACTATTTGTGGTACTTTTAAAAGATAAGGGGCAAACTTATATTTTCTGTTTTCAGAGTGTAATCAAAGGTGAAAATTCACAATTTTTCCTGTTAAATTACTTATGATAAAGTAATAGTGACTATGCACACAGACTTAATTTCCTTATGTGCAGATGGCCTCTGTAGACAGAGAATGATAGTTGCCTTTGCCCCTTGTTTATTTTACATGTTTCTTTCTCTTCTGTTGTCTAGCTGAGTGATCTCAAGTACAGTGTGCCATTACTTTACCTACAAAAGAGATTTGAAATAACTGATATTGAAGGTCCCATTTGGATCTGAAAACTCTACAATTTTATTCATTTTTTTCAGACACATCTGGCAGTTCCAGAAACAGCATTATTACAAACAGTTGCCAATTTGGACACTCTAGTAGCTGTAATAGAATGCCAGCAACCAGAAGCAGACTTATACAGGTATGGTGTGATGTTCAGTATACTTATTTTAAGTCCTACTTACAGACCTCATTTTTAAATAACCATAAACATAAAATGAAATCTTTAGCTAATTGGAGACAATATTTGTGGGGTGGGTTGGTGGGGGATGCAATTAATGGTGAAAAAAAACTAAGAGCAGAAATTGCTGGAATTCTAAGCAAAGGATAATAGTTCAAAGCCAGAGTTTTTATTCACAAGTTTCTTCACATTACCTTCGATTTTGCTTTGAACTGTCATGCTCACTTTGTAGCTATAACAGTAGTTATAGTAGACGTAAGATTATTTTCTTAGAAGAAAATAATGATATTTTTGGTAAGCTCCAAAAGCCAGGGACTATGTCTTTGTTTTTACTACTATAGAGGATACTACTTTTAAATTAGAACCTTATAAAGTTTTCAATATTTTACTTATATGTAGCACATAATAAAGTAAAAAAGAATTTTCTATAAATATTATATTTAATGGCTATGAGTTTCTCAAAGACAGAAGCTACTATTCATCTTATCTATCACAATGAACACAAAATAAATCTATTTTTCTAGTTTGTTAGATTTTTAAAGATCTTGTTTCTGAAAGGAGAGAAAGGAACAGAGGAACTACTTTTAACATTACGGTTTGCTAAATACAGTGTTGTATACCTTCAGTGATCATCTTCAGTAATCCTGCCAGTTATATGTGGGCTGTGGAATGGAAACAACTTTTTATTACTAAAAAATTAAATGATAAACTAAGTTCATTTTTACTCAATAAATGGTGGTAGACTGTAAATTACAACCACTTCCTAAAAATCACCCTCAGCTTCTTGTCATATTATATATCGCCCCCTGTTGGTTGAAATGTTTCAAAAGTCTTTAGCCATTGGCTTTTCCAAACTTCTTAGGTATCTTTTTTTTGGATCCATCTTTATAATGGAGGTTTTCTCTATGTGATGTTATAAAAATTGTATACATTCATCAAAAGTCAAATGCAGTGTAGAATTTGCCAATTAACTAAAAACTTTGGAATCATATGCTTAAAAGGCACTTGATAGACTGACTGTAAGACATATTTAACTGTGAAGGATGAAGAATTTTAAGATTTCTATATTGCTGCTATATCCTGGTCTGAGGCAATGGCAAATTATTTAAAAATTATTAAAAACCAGAAAATGGACAACTAAGAACTAAGCAAGCATAAGATCAATATGAGATTAAGTGTAACTAATGCTTTGGTGTATGGTTTTTACATTATCTTGGAATATGGGGAGAAAGTTTGAAAAAAAATTTTTAAATAAACAATTTCTCTTATTGGAAGTATATGTTTTGTTTTAAATATAAAATGTAATCATTGCAACAGGCTTTTATAATAGAAATAAAACTCGTAATTGTATCACTATTTAAAATCTTTGATTGCCATTTTTATTCATTCATTCGTTTAACAAATTACTGTTTAGCTAAATCTGTGTGCTCATTGTGATAGGTGAATAAGATGAATAGGAATGGTTTCCCTCCTTGAGGAACTCATAGGAGTTAGAGACTATTTATATAAAATTATATCTTTCATTTTATTATGTACTTGTAACACATATATGTGCTATATGGTATATATATATTCATATATATTACATGTGAAATACTGCAAACATTTTAAATGTCCAAGTAGGAAAATGCTTAGATAGGTATATATATAGATATTTAAAATCTTTTTCAAGAATTGAATGATATAGGTACATACTGAAATATAATATTAAATGAAATAAGATACAAAGTTGGGCCTCTCATATGATCCCAGTTATGTAAAAATAATGTGTGTGCAATAGCAAAGACATGGAATCAACCTAAATGCCTGTCAGTGGCAGATTGGATAAGGAAAATGCGGTAAATATACACCATAGAATACTATGTAGGCACAAAAAAGAAAGAGATCACATCTTTTGCAGGAACATGGATAGAGCTGGAGGCCATTATCCTTAGCAAACTAACGCAGGAACAGAAAACCAAATACTGCATGTCCTCACTTACAAGTGGGAGTTAACCGATGAGAACACATGGACACAAGGGAACAACACATACTGGGGCCTACTGGAGGATGGAGGATATGAGGAGGGAGAAGAGCAGAAAAAATAACTGTTGGGTACTAGGCTTAGTACCTGAGTGACAAAATAATCTGTACAACAAACCTCTGTGACACAAGTTTACCTATATAACAAACCTGCACATGTACCACTGAACCTAAATGTTTAAAAATAAATAAATGTGTGTGTATATATACTAAATAGGCAATTAGGTGACAAGATAGAATAATTGATAGCTACAGAAAGAAAAACCTGGAGGAATTGTAGATGAAAATTTAGTAATATTCTCGTGGTAGGATTTCTGCTGATTTTTAATCATCTTTTTCTTTTCCATATTTTTAAATACTTCTTTATTTTATTTATTTTTGAAACAGAGTCTCGCTCTGTTGCCCAGGCTGAAGTACAGTGGCACGGTCTCAGCTCACTGCTACCCCCATCTCCCGGGCTCAAGCAATTCTCCTGCCTTAGGCTCCGAAGTAGCTGGGATTATAGGCGTGTGCCACCACACCCTGTTAATTTTTTTGTATTTTTAGTAGAGATGGGGTTTCACCATGTTGGCCAGGCTGTTATCAAACTCCTGACCTCAAATGATCCACCCACTTTGGTCTCCCAAAGTGCTGGGATTACAGTTGTGAGCCACCCCACCCAGCCTAATATTTCCTTTAAGAATGTGGATTGGTTTTGTGATTTTAAAAAGTATTTTCCATTGTACTGAATGGTATTCTTGACTTTTTTTAAAATATTGCAGGAAGCTGAATTAATGATCATTTTAAATGGCTATGAATAGTCCAAGTGCATGTACTAGATAGAACCTAACCATTCCCCAACCTTTTCATACTTGACTCTTTTCATTGTTTTGCTATTACAAATACTATATGGTACCTTATTACAAATAAAATTCACCAATTCAAAATCTAGTGGTTGAATAGTTCATTACTTTCTCTTCTTTGATGCAATTTGCTAACTTGTCTTCCAGGACACTCCCGTCTCTTGGTTTACCTCCTACCTCACTATTCCCTCTGTCTCAGTCTCCTTTGCTAGTTTTTCCTCTTGTCCCAGACTTCTTTCTTTTAGAGTGCCCCAGGACTTGCACTGTTTCCTTCCCTACCTATACCTTTCACTATCTACCCTCACTCCCTTGGTGATCTTACCCAACCTCCTGGCTTTAAAGACTAGCTACGTGCTGCTGACTGTTGGATTTATTTCTGTATCCCGGACTTCTTTCCCAAACTTCAGCTGCCTGTTCCACAGTTCCACCTGGATATTTAGTAGAAATCTCAAATTAATAAGCTGAAAACTAAACTGCTAATCTTCCTGAAAGGAAGCTTTTCTACCAGCGGTCTTTCTCATCTCAGTTGATGCAGTCCATCCTTCCAGTAGCTCAGGCCAGAAACCTTGGAATCAGCCATGACTTCTCACATCTCCTCTCCCTTCACCTTTCTTCACCTCCTTACTCACATCTCACCCCAACCCATCAGAACATTCTGAAGGCTTACCTTCAAAATGCATCCAAAATCTGACCATCTTTTCCTAGTTTTGTCTGAACCAGTACCATCTCCTGCCTGGATTACTGCTGTTTTATAGTTGGTTCTCACAAAAGCAGTCATAGTGTTCCTTTTTTAATATAAGTCAGATCATGTGACTCTTCTGCTCAAACCCTGTACTGGCTCACTGTGTCACTTAGAGTCAAAGCCCATATCTCTCTAACCATCTCTAAGATCTGCCCCCATCCCCCATCCTCAACCTTTCTTCTCTGCCCTGTTTGCTATCCTTCACCCTCTAGCTCATCCTCCACATACACTGACCTCCTTACTTTTCCTTGAACATACCATGTCTACTCCCACCTGGTCACTAGACCTAGCCCTTGTCTGATGCTTGAGTAACACCTTCAAGTCTTTGCTTAAATCACCTAATCAGTGAGGCCCACCTTAACTACTTAGTACTGCACCCTGATCCTTCTTACTCTGTTCTGCTTTTCTGTTTTCATAATACATAATATTTTCTAGTATACTATGTAATTTACTTTTTTATTATGTTCCTTGCTTACCATCTCTCCCACTAGAATGTAAACTGTAGAGCAGGCATCTTTGTGTATTTGTTCACTGATGGATCTCAAGCACCTAGAACAATATCTGTCATCTTGCAGGCCTTACTGTTTATTTGTTGACAGTTGATAGAGTAAACATTCTTGTATACCCTTTGATTGAATTACAGGTTGATTATCCCTAATCCACAAACTCAAAATCCAAAGTGCTCCAGATTCTTGCCATTTTGAAAACATTTTTTATTCATTACCTCATCATAGCTGGAGTAGAGATAGCAAGAATTCTAAATTTTTTAAAGCTTAAGGACCGATAAGTATTTTAAAATAATTTATAGCAAGAATATTGGACCATTAATATATACAAATGGTTGATTTTTGTTTCATATATAAGAATGGTTCAGGCCGGGTGCAGTGGCTCATGCCTGTAATCCCAGCACTTTGGGAGACCGAGGTGGGCAGATCACGAGGTCAGGAGATTGAGACCATCCTGGCTAACACGGTGAAACCCCGTTTCTACTAAAAATACAAAAAATTAGCCGGGCGTGGTGGTGGACGCCTGTAGTCCCAGCTACTCAGGAGACTGAGGCAGGAGAATGGCATGAACCCGCAAGGCAGAGCTTGCAGTGCGCCGAGATCGCGCCACTGCACTCCAGCCTGGGCGACAGAGCGAGACTCCGTCTCAAAAAAAAAAAAAAAAAAAAAAAAGAATGGTGCAAAAAACCAGCCATTGATATCATAAGTAATATTATATAGTTTTGTAATATGGTGAATTTTTTGGTAGATTCATGGGACGAATGATCATAACCCAACAAATGGAAGAAATTGTAAGGTAAGAATTTTTGTTATCTAATTACCTTTAAGTGGGAACTGTTTAGGGGAGGGACTAGAAGTTCCAAAGGGAGATTATGTAAATAAGCAGCCCATCATGGGAAAGGGTTAATTTTGTTGTTTTTTGTTTGTTTTGTTTTGTTTACATTTAGTGGTTTATTATATCACTTCAGAATCATTCAGTGCAAGCTAGAGTGTTTAGTGGTCAACCCAGAACTGCTTACTTTTTCTTCTGATTGGTTTATCATATCCTTTATAATAAACCACTAAATGTAAACAAAGCATACAGATGAAGAGTTGCTCAGGGCCAGGTATTGGGGAAGGGTTGTGGAGCTTCCCTGCTCTTCCTGGGTGTGCAACTCTCCAGAAACCTCTGGAAGCCCTCCCAACCCACTTCTCTTAGTTTTTTATGGAAGCTTCATGACATCAGCTTTCTTTACCCCAGTAGGACCCTCTCTGGGGAGGGCCTTAAGACTTACAATTAGAAAGGTGAGGGAAGAGTAGAGTCCTATCTTGGGGTGAAACGGGGGCAGGAGAAGGTCAAAAACCTGCCCCTGAGGCCGAGCACACCCAACATTATAACAAAAGACTGTAACAAGGGCTATGGGAGTTATGAGCCAGGGACCATGGATGAAAACTAATGTATATATCATAATATATGGTCACAGGCCATCCCCTGGTTTTCAAACACAAATCCCTTACATCAAAAGAATAATATAATTCAGAAGATACTGCCACATTACTAGAATCCCATTCAGTTGTTAATAATTAGTCCAGTCCATCATAGTGGATAAGTATCTCCCAGAGTAAGGTCACTCAGGTTTGCAGGCTTCTTATCAATCTTCTCAGATTCCAAAAGCAGCAATGGTCTCAGCAAATATACAGCTTCACTCATTCAGGCATCTGGTATTATTGAGCTAAGAGACAATGTAATCTTTTGCTCTGAGCCTCCTTCAAGGTGTTAATGTAATGTGAGATTTCCCTCAACTTGTAACCCATTTATTCATTCATTTACCCTCATCTGTTATTTCTCCTTTTCTCCATTAATACCCAAACTTTTCCAGGAAAGGGTTAATTTAAAACACTTCGCATTTCATCTGCTAGTAATTTGTGGCAGTAGCAAGTGAGGATGAAACAAATCCCATGAAATGATATCAAAATAGTTTAGTAAAATTATTTGTGTTTTTGTATTTCTTTTTCTAATAATACTAAGTAGTAATATTAAAAGGAAACATAGCTGCTTTTATTCACTTCTCATGCATTTAAACCCACGATGCTTAGTAAGTCTAGAATATGAAAAATGTTTTATATAATGTTTAACAAGTATAAATGCTATGCTCTTCTTCACTTCAGAATCATTCAGTGCAAGCTGGAGTGTTTACTGGTCAATCCAGAACGACTTACTTACTTTTCTGATTTTTTTTTTTTTTTCTTGGTTGGTTGTTTCAGATTGTTTTCCCTCAGTATTTGGGTTAATTTCTGGCTCCTAAATGAAAAACTTTGTGTCAGTTCAAAGATATGCTGATGGGATATGATTACATTGTTACTCATGAGCGTAAACCTAATTTGGAATCAGTCTTGGAATCAGCTCTTGAATTTCTAATCATATTTGACATTCTACCTCTTTTCTGGAGACATGTTCAGTTTGTACTGGCTGCATGAAATAAGTCACTAACAGAAAGAGATGAGCATTTTTAAATGAAATCCTCAAGACAAGTCAGCAAAAATACCATACATTCACATTGATTCATATTTTTAATAAGCATTAACATAGGAACATGTTCAGTAAACTCTGCAGCAAGACCTTTGTATGTGTAGGATCCCTGCTGAATAACTATGACTAGGTTTATTTTGATTTTTTTAGGGAAATAGTGAGAAATGTTTGGATACATGGTCTGAATTGCATTAATATGTGAAGGAAAATAGCAGTTACATTACTTCAGCCCCTAGAATGGTTAAAAAAAATGAACGATGTTCTCTAGTAAAACAACCTGACCGAACTGATGAGTTATATTTTAATCTGAAGTTGTCATTATATCCCAATTTTACATGCCAATGTGAGCTAAAAGTATTTCTGTTTATTGTTAGAGGCACCACTGAGTGAAAAAGAACTATTTTATAGCCCCTAAAATAGTTTTCACATTGATTTTGGACTGTCCATGGAGTATACTCCAAATATGACTGTATTGGTTCTCCTTGCTTCATTGCAGTTTTTTACAGTGTTTGGGTTTGCAGGTATCTTCATAAATGGTTCAGATTCTGTTTGGTTTGTTATAGCTGTGTATGGATATTTCAGAAAAGTATAAGGAATAGCAACAAAATAATGGTTTTTTAACTTATCCATAGAAGATTCTTATTTTGCTATCACTAAGAAGATCAATTTCCTTTCTAGTTATTCCTTGTCGTTTTATATCTCCTTTATGGAGAGAAATTCAAACAGCAAGAAGACCTGGGCTTCAAGAAGTATGCAATGCAAGTAGTCAAGTTATACTGTGCAATCTTGCCTAGAAAAAGTACTAACATACCTTGTACATTGTGTTTTATAATTCAGTATAATTTTAATTGTGCAGAACTCATGCATTTATATGCAAATCGTACTACAATTTATGTTTACATTGTGTTCTAATTATTTTCCCTTTCAAAGCTGTTTATTAACTTTGCTTTAAAATTTTAAAATTTCATCTTCTGCCACACATTTTTAAATCACTGCTTACTCTTTGATTTTGCTGAATTTTATGTTTAAAAATTTTGAAACTAGTGGCTTTGTGACTGTATTTACATGCATAATCATTTTTCTGAGCCACTAATCTTAAAGCAGGTTGTTACAGTAACTAACATCAGATTGGCCTAGGCAGCTTTTTTTCTTTTTCTTTTTCTTTTTCTTTTTTTTTTTGTAGAGATGGAATCTCGCTCTCTCACCAAGGCTGGAGTGCAGTGGCGCAATCTCGGCTCACTGCAACCTCTGCCTCCAGGGTTCAAAAAATTCCCCTGCCTTAGCCTCTTGAGTAACTGGGACTACAGGCGCACGCCGCCACGCCTGGCTAATTTCTTTTGTATTCTAGTAAAGACAGGGTTTCTCCATGTTGCCCAGGCTGGTCTCGAACTCCTGAGCTCAGGCAATCCGCCCACCTCAGCCTCCCAAAGTGCTAGGATTACAGGCTTGAGCCACCGTGCCCGGCCCCTAGGAAGCTTTATAGTAGCTGGGATTTCGGTTTTTTATGAAAGCAGTATTATAGCTATAGCTTAAGTACCTTCTGCTGAAGACACCATTTTAGAATCGAATTGAATTTTTAATATATTCAGTGCTTTATGGTTATTTTCTTTTTTTCCTAGACCTCTGGGTCCAGAGAGTCTCCTGCTTCGTGGAGCCAGATTAAAAAACACAAAAGAAATTTTTGGTTTGTACATATTTAAACATTTTAAATGATTGATTTGTGTTAATGCTTTATATGAAGTACTTCTAAAAGTACAATGTTTGTGGTCTTTTGGTTAGATAATTTATTAATTATCATTTATGACAATTTTCTTATAAAGTTTGTATTAAAGTAGTCGTGTATTATACTTTTGTTCTGTTGATGATCCCTATTTTTTAATAGTAGACTAGAACCATGCTCTTACGTTATCTTTATGGATACTTGTGAAACTGAGGGCAGATAATTTATATAACACTTCTAGTAATGGTGAGTAAGAACCAATATAATCTGGCATCATGGTACAGTAAACCACTTCTATAATTTCATTATGATTATTAGATTGGATTAATAACTGCAGATTTATTCATTCATATATTCAAATTTCTTACTGATATCTGAATATATACTAGGTACTATTCGAACATACACTGACTGGATCAAAAGGATGAATAAGTACTGCTCTTGCCTTGGAGATCTAAATTAATATAGTACACTCTGAGTCAACTATAAGCAAATTGTGAAGTTGATGATAACCTTTAGCTGTTAGCTAACTCCTCACATTTCAGGAATGGTCCTTAGTATCTTGGCCTACTGTGTTACCCGCTGACTGTCTGCAGCTTGTGAGATCTTCTTTCTCATTTGCTCTTTTTCTGTTACCTGTACTATATCTTACCTCTCAGTGTTAGACTCTCTGATAAAGAAGTCTATATATCGAGAAAAAAAGACCAAGCAGAAAAGAGCAAGCGTTGGTGAGGACGTGGAGAAATTGGAACCCTTGTACATTGCTGATGGGAATGTAAAACGTTGCAGCTACCTTGAAAAAGAGTTTTGGCAGTTCTTCAATAAGTTAAACATAGAATTATATGACTCAGTGATCCCACACTACATGTATACCCAAAGTAACTGAAAATGAGTGTTCAAACAAAAACTCGTACAAGAATGTTCATAGCAGCACTGATGATGATAGCCAAAGTTTGGAAAGAGCCCAATGTTCATTAGATAATGAATGAATAAGCAAAATATAGTATATCCATATAATGGAATAGTATTCAGCTATAAAAAGGAATGAAGTATTAATGCATACTACAATATGGATGAACCTTGAAAATATTATGTTAAATGAAAGAAGCCAGACATAAAAAGCCACATGTTGTATGATTCCATTTATTTGAAATACCCAGAATAGGCAAATTCATAGAGACTGAAAACAGATTAGTGGTTTCCAGGGGCTGGGGAGTAGAGGAGAATGGGGAATGTTTGCTTAATGGGTACAGGGTTTTCTTTGGGGGTGATGAAAATATTCTCAAAATTATAAATGTACTAAGTGCCACTGAATTATACACTTTAAACTGGTAAATATGTATATTTTTCCACAATTAAAAAGAAATCCATAAGAATGTTCTAATAGCAGAAACCAGAGTAAACCTTCAGGGCTTTTAGATCCTCTAATATAACACTGTACTTTAAAACTTTTTTTTTTTTTTTTTTTGAGACAAGGTCTTACTCTGTTGCCCAGGCTGGAGTATAGTTACACGGTGTCGGCTCATTGCAACCTCTGCCTCCTGGGTTCAAGCGATCCTCCTGCCTCAGCCTCTCAAGTAGCTGAGATTACAGGCGTGTGCCACCATGCCCGGCTGATTTTTGTATTTTTAGTAGACCATGTTGGCCAGGTTGGTCTTGAACTCCTGACCTCAAGTGATCTTCCCGCTGTGGCCTCCCAAAGTGGTGGGATTACAGACGTGAGCCACCGCACCTGGCCAACACATCTTTCTAGTAGTAACTTCGTCACTCCTGTTTACTTTAAAGTAAACCATAATGAATGGGGTCCAAATTTTGTACACTCTTAAAAGAAAATGTGGATTTGAATGCCTTTAGATGGGTCTGTCTTCTGTCGTTTTGTCTCAGTACCACCTCTCCCTATTGGATCATTCTGGCTATTTTACTACATTTCTATAATCTCTATTTGAGTTGTAATAGCCTGCCTTTAAGGAATAAGTCAAGATAAAACTTCCAGGACAAGTATTTAGGAAGAGGGCATGAAAGGTTCTATATTGCTTTTCAAATTGTACTGTTTAGGGGTGGGAATGAACATTTATTGATCATCTCTCAGTTGTTAGGCATTTTGTTGATTTGTCATACAGACCTCACAATTCTATGAGGTATTTTTTCCCATTTAAAGATGGGAAGATTGAGACACAGAAATTACTTACCCGAGGATGTAGAACTAATAAATGGCAGAGCTGGAATTCAAACCAAGGTCTAGCTGCAAAGTTTTTTTATAAGCTGGTCTCACCTAATTCCATTTGTTGTCCAGTTTTAGTCCCATTACTACCATCATCTTTGCTCATCTCAAAGTCATTCAGTAGGCACACATTTTTTAAATAGCACTTTCCGTGTGCTTACTTGATTTACTCTGATAGACCTCCATATTATCTTGCCGATGCTTATGGAGTAATGTCTAGACCCCCAATTCCAGCATTCAGGGCTTTTCACACTGTGGCCACAATCCATTGTCCCAACCTAACAGGAAGTGAGGTTTTCCATATCTGTCTTTGTTAACACTGCTCCATTTGTAATGGCCTTCCCTGACACTTTTATCTTTCCAGATTCTTTTCCTCTATCAATTCCAATTCAAGTAATACATTTTTCATTCAGATGTCTGTTATAACTCAGGAACAAGATCCATGCCCTCCCCCATTTAGCCAGTTGACTGGGGCTTCCCAAAATTGGTCTCAGAAAGCCTTTTAAAACTCTGAAAACACTTAAAGAAAAGCAAAATTATAACAACTGTCAGGCAGTACACTAAAAGCTTTCATGCTGGTAAATATATTTATTTCTTGTGAAACATGCTAGAGGATTATTTTGAGACAATTTTGTTTTATTTTACAGGTGTTGCTATATACACTGGAATGGAAACTAAGATGGCATTAAATTACAAGAGCAAATCACAGAAACGATCTGCAGTAGAAAAGTAAGAAAACTGTTTTCATTTATTTATATGTAATTATAACTATACATTTTTTATTCATTTGGTATAAAATATATAAAAATATATATATTAAGTAAACAGGATGATAACCTTGGGGACAGTGATCATTTCTTATATTTTTACATACAAGTAACATTTTGCACAGTATTGAGCATATAGTAGATACTCTATAGTATGACTTTTAAAATAAATACTATTGAATAAACGGTGGAAACACTTAATCAGACTAACGCTTGTGCAGATTACAGTTCTAAAACTGAAAAAAAAATTTTTTAAATAAACAACTATTTGAAAACATTGGAGACAAACCTGAATGAAATAGAAATGGGCAGGGAGTGTAATCCTGAAAGATGATAGCAGCAAGGGGGAAATTTTTAGAGTGTAGCTTTTTGCCTGAGGACACTCCCCAGTTTATGTGCTGCTTGGAACATCAAAAAGTCTGAACTTTACTGGATAGAAGTATCAGAGGACAAGGTTAATAGCTGGAAGAGCAGCTGTAAAGTTAGGGGAAAATAATGTAAGGGGATTAGCATTAATTCCCTTCTGTAAGCAATGAGAGGTAAGCTACAGAAGGGAATTAACTCTAAAAACTGCACATAAATTCTGCCCAAGTCCTTGACTGACTGCTAGAACTATGCATGTGCAAGGGAGACAAAGAACTCAACAGAGAATTTTACTGCTGCTCATTGCATTGGAGATACAGTTTGTTGAACCAGGTGAAATTAACTGCCTACTGGAATAAAAATTAGCACTCTTCTGAGGAACATAAAAGAATATAGACTATCTACAATGTATTATTTATAAAGTTCAGTCTGCAATAAAAAATAAGCAGAAGGTGAAGAAAATGTAATTCATCCATAAGAGAAAAAGCACTCAATAGAAACTGTCTCCAAAATGATCCAGATCTTGCGTTTAGCAGACAAGAACTTTAAAGCAGATACTGTAAATTTATTATAAATATGTTCAAGGGCCTAAAGGAAAATTTGAATGAACATATGGGAAAACTCAGCAGGTAAATGAAAACTCTTGACTTGAAAAACATAATTACTAAAATGGAAACATCATTAGGTGGGCTCAACACCAGACTGAATCAGTCAGACCAGTGAACTTGAAGAAAACACAAATTATTCAGTCGAAAAATGGAGAGGAAAAAAGATTAGAAAAAATGAACAGAGCTTCAGAGCCATGTGGGATAATATTAAGCTGTTCGGCATATGTGTAATTGATTCCCAAATAAAGAGAAAAAAGGACAGAATAAAAATATTTGAAACAATAATGACTGAAAATTTCTAAAATTTGAGGAAAAAGTTTCAACCTACACTACAAAGATCAGTAAACTCTAAGCAGGAAAAACGCAAAGAAAACCACCGCAAAGCACATGATGGTCAAAATACCAGAATCCAGAGAAAAAGAAAATGTTTCAAGGAGCCAAAGAGAAATGCCTCACGTGTAAGTGAATAACAATATGAGTGATAACCGGTTCTTATCAGAAACAACAGAGGACACTGGGGAAAGGACATCCTCTTCAGTAAGTGGTGCTAGGAAAATTGGATAGCTACATGCAGAAGAATGAAACTGGATCCCTGTCTTTTACCAAAGAAATAATCAACTCAAGGCTGAGTGCAGTGGCTCATACCTGTAATCCCAGCACTTTGGGAAACCAAGACAGGAGGATCACGTGAGGTCAGGAGTTCAAGACCAGTCTGGCCAACATGGTGAAACTTTGTCTCTACTAAAAATACAAAAATCAGCCGGGTATGGTGGCGTGTGCCTGTAGTCCCAGCTACTCAGGAGGCTGAGGCAGGAGAATTGCTTGAACCCAGGAGGCAGAGGTTGCAGTGAGCTGAGATCATGCCATGCACTCCAGCCTGGGCAACAGAGTGCAAGACTCCATCTCAAAAACAAAACAAAACAAAAGTGTATCAAAACCACGATGAGGTGTCATCTTGCCAGCCAGAATGGCTATTATTAAAAAGACAAAAATAAAAAAATAAACAATAGATGCTGGCAAGGATATGGAGAAAAGGAAACTCTTATATGTGTTGGTGGGCATGTAAGTTAGGCTAGCCACTGTGGAAAACAGTCTGGAGATGTCTCCGAAAACTGAAAACATAATTACCATATGGTCCAACAATCCTACTACTGGGTTTTATCCAAAGGAAAAGAAATCAGTATATCAAAGGAATATCTGCACTTGCATGTTTATTGCAGCACTACTCATAATAACAAAGATAAGGATTCAGTTTAACAGTTCATCAGCAGATGGAGGGATAAAAAAATGTATACATACCTACACAATGGAATACTGTTTGGCCATAAGAAGAATGAAATCGTGTCATTAGCAGCAACATGGATATAACTGAAGATCATTATGTTAAGTGATGCAAGCAAGCACAGAAAGACACTTCATTCATGGCACACACCTGTAACCCCAGCACCTTGGGAGGCCGAGGTGGGCGGATCACTTGAGGTCAGGAGTTCAAGACCAACCTAGCCAACATGGCAAAACCCTGTCTCTACTAAATATGCAAAATTAGCTGGGTGTGGTGGTGTGCGCCTGTAGTTCCAGCTGCTTGGGAGGCTGAGGCAGGAGAATTGCTTGAACTCAGGAGGCTGAGGTTACAGTGAGGCGAGATCGCACCACTGAACTCCAGCCTGGGTGACAGAGCGAGACTCCATCTCAAAAAATAAAAAAAGACACTTTATTCATGTTTTTCAAAGAACCAACTTTTGGCTTTAATTTTGTGTATTTTTTTTCTCTTTTCCATTGGCTTCAGCTCACATCTTCAATTAATTTCCTCTGTTTCTTCTCAGGTTGGGTCTCATTGTTCCTCTTTAACTTCTTATGGTGCCAGATGAACTCAAATGATTAATTTTAAGCTTTCTTTTTCTCTTATATAAACAGAGCACAAAAGATGATGAGGGGCTGTAAATGAACTGTTACAAAGGTCCTACATTTTACATGAAGCAATAGAGTAACATCTATAAATAAATTACAGTAAGGTGAAGATGCATATTCTCATCTCTGGAACTTCCATTAAAAACAATAAGGCAAGGATTTATAGCTAGTAAGTTAGAGCAACTGAATATTAAAATGTTTGATAAACACCGTAAACAGCAAGAAAGGAAGAACAGCGAAACAGAAAACCAAATGACACAAATAGAAAACAAATAGCAAAATGGTGGTCCTAAATTTGACGAAAAATTACATGAAATGTAAATGCATCAAACAGTCTAATGAAGTCAGAGATTGTCAGATTGGATAAAAGAGCCAGACCCAATTACACGTTGCCTAGAAGAAATATAGTTTACATACGAAGATATAAATAGGTTGACATCAAAAGATATACTGTGTATATTGTAAGCCTATGAAAACTGAAAACCAGAATAGTTCCATAATTATACATGGAAAGTTCATCTAGAGAGATCATATGATGTGCCATAAAACAAATCCCAAAAGATTGAAATCATACAAAGTGTGTTCTTTGACAATGAGGGAATTGGATTAAAAATCAATAACAAAATCTGCAAATATTTTGAAATTAAAAAACAACTCTCTTAACTGACTCATGGGTCAAAGGAGAAATCATAAAGGAAATTTAAATTTCTTCAAATAGAATGGTAATTTAAACCCAACACATCTACATTTGCAGACTCAAGGCAAAGCCCAGCAGCTTTGAGGGAAATTTCTAGCTATAAAGTTGATAAATTCCTGCTGAGATTAACTGATTAAGCAAAAGAGAAGTGGTATAAGAGAAGAAAAGTAAAAAATTACCAATGTCAGGGATGAAAGAGGGGATAGCTCCATAGAGCCTACACATATCCAAGGATAATAAGGAACTATTATGAACAACTTTATGTCACTGACTTTTACAACTTAGATGAAATGGGCAGATTCTTTGAAAACACAAGTAACTTACCAAATTGGCACAGGATGAAATAAAGTCTAAATAACCGTAAGTCTGTCAAATAGCTTTAAGTTATTATTTTTAAAAGTCTGCACACTAAAGCTCTGCCTTTTCAACACATGGTGCTAGAACAGCTGGACGTCTGTATGTCAATAATTGAATCTTCACCCTTACCCGTCTCCTACATACGCAAAAACTAACCCAAAGTGTAAGGTCTAAGCATAATAACTAAATCTGTAAAACATGGGAGAAAATCTTTGTGACCTTGGGTTAAGTAAAGATTTCTTAGATGGGAAATGTATGAAAAAGGAACCACGAAAATTGACAGCTTAAACTTCATCGAAATGTAAGACTTATACACTTAAAAAGGCACTGTTTTTGTTATGAAGATGCCAGAAACTAAAATAAAAAATTTAAAAAGACAAGCCATAGATCAGAGAAAATGTCTGCAAAGCACATATCTTGTAAAGGACTTGTACCTAGAGTATCCAGTCTCACTACTTTTTAACATTATTCTGGAAGCCTTATGCAGTGCAACAAGTTAAAGGATTTAAAAACCATAAGTACTAGAAAGCAAGAAGTAAAGTTGTCCTACTGAAAGACACATGATTTTTCATATAAACAGGCATAAGTATTCAACAAGAAAACTGTAATAAGCAAGTTGGTCTCAGAATACAAGGTAAATAAAGATAATTTTTTTTTTTTTTTTTTTTTTTTTTTTTTTTTTTTTTTTTGAGACAGAGTCTCAGTCTGTCACTAGGCTGGAGTGCCGTGGCGTGATCTCGGCTCACTGCAACCTCCGCCTCCTGGGTTCAAGCAGTTCTCTTGCCTCAGCCTTCCGAGTAGCCGGGACTACAGGTGCATGCCACAACACCCAGCTAATTTTTGTATTTTTTAGTAGAGATGGGGTTTCACTATGTTCGCCAGGATAGTCTTGATCTCTTGACCTTGTGATCTGCCTGCCTCGGCCTCCCAAAGTGCTGGGTTTACAGGCATGAGCCCATGTGCCCGGCTGATAAATCATTTTTATATCTATATAATAGTAAGAAACAGAAAATGAAATTTTAAAAAAGTTATTTTTATAGTAGTATCAAAAAGCATAGTATATTTAGGAATAAGTTTTTTTTAAAACTTGTGCAAGATTTCTATAATGAAAATTACAAAATGTGGCAAGAGAAATTAAGACCTAAATAAATGGAGAAATCACATTAATAGATTGTCAAGCTCAGTATTGTTAAGCTATCAATTACTGTATAGATTCCCTTAGTCTCAAAATCACAGCAATCTTTTTGTAGTAATTGACAAGGTAATACTAAAGTGTATATTGAAATGCAATAGCCAAAATGCGTATTCAGATGCACAGCGAAAACAGTCTCTTTAAGAAAGCTAAAAGATTTACCTTACCTGATTTAATACTTAATATAAAGCTACAGTAATTACAGTGTGGTGTTAACATTGAATAATATAGAGAGTTGAGAAGTAGACCATTCATGTGTGGGTTTGTTGATTTTCAACCAAGTAACAAGTCAATTCAATAAAAAAATTAGTATTTTCTACAAATGATGCAGCAGTTGGATATTCAAATGAGAAAAACATGAAACTTAGCTTCTACCTTATGCTGTACTCCAAAAAGTTTTGAAAATGAGTCATAGACCTAAATATAAAAGCTAAAATTATGAAACTTTTAGAAGAGCCGGGCGTGGTGGCTCACGCCAGTAATCCCAGCACTTTGGGAGGCCGAGACAGGCAGATCACCCGAGGTTGGGAGTTCGAGACCATCCTGACCAACATGGAGAAACCCTGTCTCTACTAAAAATGCAAAAATTAGCTGGGCATGGTGGCGAATGCTTGTAATCCCAGATACGTGGTAGGCTGAGGCAGGAGAATCACTTGAACCCTGGAGTCGGAGGTTATGGTGAGCCGAGATCATGCTATTGCACTCCAGCCTGGGCAACAAGAGCAAAACTCCGTCTAAAACAACAAAACAAAACAAAAAACACTTTTAGAAGAAAACTTAGAAAGATATCTTTATGACTTGGAGTAGGTAAAGATTTCTTAGGATACAACAAATATAATAAAAAATTGATAACTTAGACTTTCTCAAAATTAAAAACTTCTGCTCATCAGGCTAAACATTTAAAGAAATGAACCTGCACATTACGAACTGGGAGACAATATTTGAAAACATATCTGACCAAAGACTTGTATCCTGAGTATATAATGATACATATGTCATTTGTGTACACACACACACAAACACACATACACAGAAAGCTGCCTACAAATCAACAATGAAAAGAGAAACAAGCCAATTAAAAAAATGGGCAAAAGGTGGAAGGTAGACACTTAAATGGCCAATAAGCACATAAAGAAGTATACAGCATCATTGCTCATGAGAGAAATGCAAATCAAAACTATAAGGAGAGACAAATGCATGACTTACTAGAATGGTAAAAATTGAAAAGACTAAATGTTCCCAGTACTGGTAAAGATTTGGAACAACTGGAACTCTTCTAAATAATCCAAGGGTCAAAGAGGAAATCTTAAAGAAAATTTTAAAAAATACTTGGATATCAGTGAAAATACAGTATATCAAAATTTGTGGGATACAGCTGAAGCAGTATAGACATTTCTAGCACTAAATACTTACATTAGAACAGAAACATCAGTGGCAAAGGGAAATTAACATTTAAACCACAATGCCATTTACAGTTGCTCCCCAAAGAAAGAACAACCTCGGTACACATCTAACAAAATACATACAAATCTTTATGCTGAAAATCACAAAACACTGAGGAAAGAAATCAAAGATCTAAATAAATGGAACAATATATCATGTTCATAGGTTGAAAGACTCAGTAAAGATGCCAGTTTTCCCAAATCGATTAATAGGTATAATGCAATTTCTATAAAAATCTCAGCAAGTTTTTTTGTAGAAGTAGAAAATTTATTCAGAAATTTAGATAGAAAAGCAAAGGAACAGTTTTGAAAATGAAAAAGTGGGAAGAGTTGCTATTGATGTTAAGTCTTACTATATAAGCTACAGTAATCAAAACAATTTGGTGTTGGTGAAAGAATAGGTACATAGATCAGTGTTACACAATAGAGAACCCCAGAACAGACCAACACAAATAGGCCCAGTTGATTTTTGGCAACAACACAAAAGCAATGCAATAGAGGAAGGATAATCTTTTTCAACAAATGGTGCTAGAACAATTGGATATCCATAGCAAAACAAACCCAAACCCCCACTGTGTGTAAAAATTAATTCAACTGAAACATAGATTTAATGTAAAACATTAAGCTATAAAACTTTTAGAAGAAAACAGAATCTTCAGGACCTAGTGTTAGACAAAGAGCTAGAAGACATGACACTGAAAGTGTAATTCCTCAATCAAAAAAATTAATAAGTTGTAGTTAAAGTTAAACACTTTGGTGCTGTGGAAAGCCCTCTTAAAAGGATGAAAAGACAAGCTACAGACTGGGGAAAAATATTTGCAAACCACAAATCTTTCAGAGGCTTTACGTTTGGAAACATAAAGAGCTCTGAAACTCAACAGTAATTCAGTGATCCAATTAGAAAATGAGCAAAAGACATATTTCATATTTCACCAAATGCATAATACATATTTCACCAGAGAAAAGCTGCAGATGACAAGCACATGAAAAGATATTCAGCATCATTACCTATTTGAGAAAAGCAAATTAGAACCACATTGGGATATCACCACACCCATTAGAATAGTTAAAATAAAAATAGTGATAATACTAAATGGCTAGGAGGTGGAGAGACTGAATCTCTTATATGTTGTTGGTGGGAGTTAAAAATAGTAAACCCACTCTGGAAGATAGTTTGGAAGTTTCTTATAAAACTAAACGTGTTTACCATATGACCCAGCTGTTGCACTCTTGGGCATTTAACTCAGATAAATGAATTTTATGCTGTCACAAAAACTCAAGCAGAAATGTTCATAGCCACTTTATTTGTTACAGCAAAAAACTGGCAACAGCCCAATGTCCTAGAAATCTTTATTCAGCTTTTTTGCGTATCTGTTGCTGTAGTAGGTTTTCTGAGATATAATTCAATCTCTTTTTGGGGATTTCACTCAAGTTGAAAGTTAAAACTAATACGCAGTAAAAAAAATTAGGTAATAGGGGCTCTGGTACTAGTTTTAAATTTAAATAAGGGAAAGTTGAATGTAAACCAGTGTAATTAGGACAGACTTTAGGAAGGAGATGGATTTTGAGTTAAATTTTGAAAAATAGGTTAATAATGTCAGGAAAAAGGAGAATATGTCTAATGAGGGTAGACATGAGCAAAGAAAGATGGAAATAAACCAGGCATTTTGTTGCCACAAGGAGACATGACTAGTTTAGTGAAAAGAGGTCAAAATTTAGAGTCATACAGATGTAGATTTGAATGGCATATCCCTTCCTTACTAGCTCTGTGGGGCTTTGGACCAGTTTTTTTCTTCTCTTGATCCGAGTGTTCTCATGTATAAAAGTGCTAGCAGTACTGTAGGTGAAGTGCTGAATACTATGCCTAACACATAATAACCAAACAAAAGCCAGTTCCTTTCTTATGTTCCTTATTTACTGTCACTGCAGAATATATAGAGTTTACATTGGAACATGGTGGAATCGACTTATTCCATAGATAAGATTAGGTTAAATTATGGAAGGCCTAGGGAGAAAAATCAGAATTCAGGCATTTTTCAATCTTTTAAGGGTTTTTACAAAGCTTGTGATTTGCATTTTCCCTCAATATCTGTTGGATGTGAGAGTTCATTATAACATCGCTTGTTTTGTATACACTTGCATTTACAATGATGAGTTCCTTTAATTGTATTAATAATACATGTTTTTAAACTTAAAATCAAAGACATGTGGCATTAGGCTTACCTAGTAAAGAGAAGAGGGATTCTGAAGTCAATTCCTGACTTGCGTGATTTTGGGAAATTTACAGAATTATTTTTGGGCTTTGGTCTTTGTCAGTTAAAAGTGTGTAATAATTTCCCCTTTAAGGGTTTTCATATAGATTAGGTAAGGTAGTAGATGTGACAAACATTTTATAAAATTTTAATGCTATACAAATGTTATTTTTAGCTATTACACTTAAGATGGGTGCTGAAAATGTAAAAAAAAAAAAAAAACTTAGAATAATTACTTATGGCAAAAATAACTGACTTAAAACCGTCACTTACTATAAGCATTTTGAATGGTAACATGGCTATATTAAATAGGCTTGTAACTTGTGTGTATTGGTTCTTTTATTGCTAATAAATAAATTCTATTTAATGGTTATTTCTTGAAAACAAAAACTGTGTTTTAAAATAGCTACAGTAGTACCTTCTGTGTTTTAATATCCTCTCTAATACAAGTACTAATTTTCAAGCAAATGAATATAGTAATAAATGATTTGTATGTTTTATATTCTCTTTTTCTTCCTTTAGGTCAATGAATACATTTTTGATAATTTATCTAGTAATTCTTATATCTGAAGCTGTCATCAGCACTATCTTGAAGTATACATGGCAAACTGAAGAAAAATGGGATGAACCTTGGTATAACCAAAAAACAGAACATCAAAGAAATAGCAGTAAGGTATTTTATGGTGTTATTGACTGTATCATAAAGGAAACTATTATTTGGCACAGTTAGTGCTTTGGTAGCGACTTCTGATAGGAGAGACCACTGTAATCCTAAAACCGTTGGTACTGAAGGGTGACAAAAATGGCATTGCAGATACAGAGAAGCCAGCATGTTTGTACTGATAGCTTTTTGTAGTTTACAGCATAAAAAGTTGTATTCCCTATGGCTTGACTTGAATAGTTCAAAGAGGTCACAAAATTTTAAATCCGTCTATCTTTGCACTTCACATTAATAATACTACAAACTCAGTTTTCTCTTCCCTATGTCTTATAAATGAATCAAAGAGTAAATGGATGTATTTTTCATTTTGTCTTAATTCAAGGATGCTTATTATCAGTCTTCATATGAACTAATATACAAATTATGTCGTATGTTTTAAATTGATTAAACATGGACTACCAAGAGAATTTAACCTATAATTTTGGTAAATAATTGTTCTCCAAATTTCACTTTAGATTAAAATCTATGTATTGGAAGGCAAATTTGGATCTCAAGAGACTATAAAGCAAATAATCACAGGGTCATTTTTTAATATCATTCACAATTAGGTACATTTCCTTTCACAAATGCATGTTGAAATATGAAACCACTAAAGCCATTAAAATAGGCTATTCCTATGTAATCTGTACTTAAGAGTTTTAATTTCTAGCACTTTTAGCCTCACAATTATTTTATAACTTTGTAAAGTTACTCTCAACTTTTAGTAGTTACCTGATTTTGAAGGGTAATAGTAGAATGGGATAAGTACACTCCAGATATTATAATTTTGCCAAAGGTAGTTTCAGTCATACCAGGCTTTTTGTTAGCTTCTGAAAGTAACAAATTAACTTATTTGAATTTAACCTTTTCATCATTTACTTCATCAAGATTCTAATGAGCAGTACAATAACCAGAGGAAATGTAATGTTAGACAATTCAATAAATGGATTTCAATTCATGAGACTATTTACCTCAGAATATAGTTGATAGTCTATGTAGACATGAAACTTTCTGGTAATTTTCATCAATAATACTGAAGAAATTCTAGTGTATTTTTTCTTATCAAACAATTATTTCCTTTTTTCTAGATTCTGAGATTTATTTCAGACTTCCTTGCTTTTTTGGTTCTCTACAATTTCATCATTCCAATTTCATTATATGTGACAGTTGAAATGCAGAAATTTCTTGGATCATTTTTTATTGGCTGGGATCTTGATCTGTATCATGAAGAATCAGATCAGAAAGCTCAAGTCAATACTTCCGATCTGAACGAAGAGCTTGGACAGGTGAAAATGATCCTAATATTTTGTTTCTCTAATTTATTATTTTTATCAAAGCAATACATGTGCAAAGATTAATGTAACGAGATATTATGACGCTTATACCTAAAACAGCACTCCTTTGCTCCACTCCTAGCTGTTCCCAATTTTTAAACCCTAAGTTGTTTCTTTTGTTATTTACCACTATATTTCTATTTGATATTCTTTCTTATTCTTGAGTTTTAGACATTATCTACTATGGAATATAAAGACATAGCTCTTACACTACTCTTCACACACACATACCCAGACACATATCCACTTTGCTTCTCCATAGCCCCCTAATATTATCATATCACAATTTTGGATTTAATAAATATTTGTATTAACATTATTATGATTGTTTTAATGTTGTTCACTAATTCTCAGTTCTATAGGTGTGTTCTATAATACCATAATTACATTTCCCTTCTTATTTATTTTGTTTTCCCAAGAGTTAATTGCTCTGTTTTTTCATTTCCTTAATTTCCATATGCCACAAACAAGTCTCTGATAATATGTGCAGCATCTGTCTACATATTCAAACATATCAGGTAATCTAGGAGTTCCTTTCTTCCTCCCTGCCTTCCTTTTTTTTCTTTTTTTTTTTTTTTTTTTTTTTTGGTGGCAGTATTTTTGGAGGCTTCCACCTTTCTGCTTCAATTGGATTATTCTTTTATTCTTTCTGGGCTTGCTTCTCAACTGTCACTCTGGACTTCCCTTTACCATCACCCTGGACATTCTTTTACCTCTCTCCTGTTTTGGATCTCCTCTTTCTTGCATCCCATGTGCTTCCTACCTGTGGCTTATTGTCTTTTGGTGCTGTATATCTTCTAACAACTTCCTGAGAAAGGATGTATGAGAGGAAAATGTTTTTAAACTTGACATATCTGAAAATATCTTTATTCTCTTTTCACACTTGATTAATAATTTAGCTGGTATTGCATTCCAGATTGAAATCTTCAGAAATTTTAAGGGATTTTATTGTTTTCTAGCCTCCAGTATTGCTGTTAGAGAAATCCAGTTCCATTCTGATTCCCAATTATTTATGTATGATCTGTTGTTTTATCTCTGGAAGCTTTAGGATCTCCTTATGCAATAGTTGTGAAATTTGTGATGGTGTACCTTGGTGTTGGTTTTTCCTTTTTTATGTTTTGTTTCATTGGCAGTTAACTCTGTGAGTCTTTTCAGCCTAGAAACACATGTCCTTCAATTCTAGGAAATTTTCTTGTTTTTTGTTTTTTTTGATAACATGTCTTTCTGTGTTTCCCTTGTTTTGAAACTTAACTATTTGCATGTCATACCACTTACATTGACCCTTTAATTCTCTTCAATTTTCAGTTTTTATTTGTTTTTATAATTCTACTTTCTGGTAGAATGCCTCTGGTTTATCTTTTCAGTATCTTTAGATTTATTTCTGCTATAGTATTTTTAATTTCTAATATTTTGGTATTCTCTGGATAGTTTTTTAAAATTGCCTCTTATCCCGTTCCTTGAGCACAATCTATTCTTGTACCTCCCCTAGTATATTAATGACAGTCAATTGACGTCTTCTTCTGCCCCCTGTATTGTCTTTGCTTGTAGTGCATTTTCCAGAACAGTGAGTTCTGCTATAATGTGATATATGCATTCCTAAAATTCACTGCATAATGCAAAATTGATTAGTTAAAGCCACAGGGTTTATGAGAGAATGGGATTGGGGTAGAACACAAAAACATTAATAATACTTTTTTTTTTTTTTTTTTAAGATGGAGTTTCACTCTTGTGGCCCAGGCTGGAGTACAATGGCATAATCTCGGCTCACCGCAACCTCCACCTCCCAGGTTCAAGCGATTCTCCTGTCTCAGCCTCCCGAGTAGCTAGGATTACTGGCATGTGCCACCACACCCGGCTAATTTTGTATTTTTAGTAGAGACATGGTTTCTCCATGTTGGTTAGGCTGGTCTTGAACTCCCAACCTCAGGTGATCCTCCCACCTCAGCCTCCCAAAGTGCTGGGATTACAGGCGTGAGCCACTGCACCCAGCCTAATGATACATTTTTTAAAAGATAGGAACCTAATAAAAGCAGCACTTGCCAAATTGTTCATGAATACGCAAATACTGCAATAAATATGGCACTTATCTGGAAAAGACCTGAAGTTTGCCTGTGGAAGATAGGCATCAGAAGGGTTGCAGCTTATGTGTTACTGTGAAGTGTTAGAAGGAAGGTTATCTGAAATCAGAGGGAAGGTTGTAATACCAGACGTGGATGAGTGTGACTCATAACACATGGTGAACTGAGATAGCTAGTAACTGAGGTTTGGGCAAAATTTGAGCAAAGTTTTGATTACGCTTAAATTGTCCCTCATTTTATCAGTTGCATCGGGATAAATTTGTGTTTTTCAAGACAGTGTTACAGCAGAACTGATTATAATTTGTTTCAGATTCTACCTTTTATGTAAGGAGTGATCTTCAAATGGATGCTAATCTTTGGCTATCATTTCAAGTGTAAAAGTGCTCTGTCCGGGAGGCTGAGGTGAGAGGATGACTTGAGCCCAGGAAGTCGAGGCTGCGGTGAGCCGTGATCACACCACTGCACTCCAGCCTGGACAACAGAATGAGATAATGTCTCAAAAATAAAATAAACAAACAAACAAACAAACACGAAAGACTGGGATCCCAGCACTTTGGGAGGCCAAGGGGGGTGGATCAGTTGAGCCCAGGAGTTCAAGACCAGCTTGGAGAACATGGCAAAACCCCATCTCTACAAAAAATAAAAAATTAGCTGGAATACAAAAATTAACTGGGTGCAGTGGTGTGTGCCTATGGTTCCAGCTACCTGGGAGGCTAAGGTAGGAGAATCACTTGAGCCCAGGAGATGGAGGTTGCAGTGAGCCGAGATTGTGCCACTGCACTCCAGCCTGGGCAACAAGAGTGAAACCCTGTCTATAAAAAAAAAAAAAACCCACTAATATGCTTATCAGAAGCTATTGATTCAGTGGGCCACACCTTAAGGTAATGGACTGACAGGCCCAACAGGTAATATTTCTGCTGCTTATGACTACTAGAATTGGCCATTGGAAATCTGTTTTTAGTGTGCTGCCTTACTTCTGTGTTCAGCTGTCTGCAGATACCAGATTCTGTCTGGTTCAGCCTACTAGCCTTCCAGCTGTTACTCCAATAAATGAAGGGCATTTTGAAGTTTGCAACTTTTAAAGAGATTTCAGAATTAAACTAGCCTGTATTTTCAGCCTCATCCTGTACTCCCACATTCAGGGTTAGCTGGTAGGTCTACTTCCTGAGAGTTTCTGAGAATGGGTTTCCTCATCGCTTGGGTTTCAGATTCTTAATTCTGGTAAATCAGTTACCACTCATTCATCTCCTTTTCCATCTTCCAAACTTGTGTCAATCTTCCCTCTCATGTTGACTTTTTTACCTTTTTTTTGTTCTTTTTCCATTTTTTTATCCTCATGGTGAAGTTTTAAGAGAACCAGGGGTAATTAAATGTGCTCAACCTATCATATTTAACCACAAGTTGATGCATTTATTTTTAGTAACATTTAGGAGGCCTTAATAATTTATGTTAAAAATTAATGTCACATTTCTTTAATTATGTATTATATATTTAAGGCCTAAAGGCCCATTTTTACTTTTCTGAATAAATTTTTTCCAATCTACCTTTGACCTTTCTTTCTCAACTCTCTTCACCTCCTTTTTCCTTCATGATAGAATTTTTGTTTTTCTGGAACTCCACATTGTGTAGGCATACGCATGTCTGCTTTGTCTTTTTTGTTTGTTTATTTTTGTTTTTGTTTTTGAGACGGAGTCTTACTCTGTCACCCAGAATCTCGGCTCACTGCAACCACCACCTTCTAGGTTCAAGCGATTCTCTCGCCTTAGCCTCCCAACTAGCTGGGATCATAGGTGCTTGCCACCATGCCTGGCTAATTTTTGTATTTTTAGTAGAGACAGGGTTTTGCCATTTGGCCAGGCTGGTCTCAAACTCCTGACCTCAGGTGATCCGCCTGCCTCGGCCTCCCAAAGTGCTGGGATTACAGGTGTGAGCCACCGTCCCCGGCCTGCTTTGTCTTTAAGAAACTTCTGGTGATTATTTCTTTAATTACTGATTTTCTCAGCCTCTCTTTTTGCTTTTGAAACTACAAGTATTTCATGTATGTGTATTGCCTCTATTCCTATTTTGTCTTTATACCAATGAAATCTACTTTATTTCGTACTCTTCTATGCTCTTTCATTTCCGTATTATCCAAAAAAACAACGCTTAGGAAGGTTTACAGTGGTGACCTGTTTATCACCAAAGTTAAAAGATTAAACTTCTTGATTTTATATATATATATATTTTAATCAAAATTAATTTATTTTATCCATCCCTACCATCTAATCTTTTTTCTAAAGAATCTTCTATGACTGATAGGTCAGTCTGTATTCTAGTATCTGGTAACCTGTGGAGTATTATTTCTGTTTGACTGCTAATGTATCTTATATATTTTCTTTATAACTCATCCCTCATTCTTTCTAATCTACACTTGTGGGTGTTTTTTAATTAACTTGCATGGGGTCTTTATATCTACCTTTAACTTCCAACTCAACATTGCTATAGATACTGGGCAACATTTAATATCAAATAGTAAAGATAAGGTATTCTAGCTCTTATTTCCAGTTTCACCATTTATTTGCTTTTTGACTTTAGGTAAGTTATTTAAGTTACCTAAAGTAATTTTCTGCCAAATTTAACCCTACCGTTCTTTTTGGATATCGATCTTTTTATCCTGAAATTTTGCTGAACTTATGTATTCTATTTTTTTTAGTGGATATTTTAGAATTTTCTGTATACAAGTTCATATGTGCAAATGGAGATAGTTTTCCAATCATGCTAACTTTTATTTCCCTTTTCTTGCCTAATTGTCATGGCTAAAACCTTAAGTACAATGTTGAGTAAAAGTGACAAAAGCAGTCTTATTCCTGATCTTAGGAAGACAGCATGCAGTCTCTCTCCATAAAGTATGATGTTAGCTGTGAGTTTTTTATAGATACCCTTTATCGGGCTGAGGAAATTCCTTTTTATTCCAGTTTGTTGAATGCCTTTATCATGAAGGGTATTGTATTTTTATCAAATGCTTTTTTCTGCACCTCTTTTGGTGGTTATTTTATTAATAAAATGAAGGCCAGGTACCATTTTATTAATATGATGGATTACGTTAATTTTTTAAAATGTTGAATCAATCTTGCAATTCTGGGATAAATCCCACATATTTGTAGTATATAACCCTTTTTATATGTTTCTGGATTTGATTTGCATCTCTTTATAAGGGATGTTGGTCTATAGCTTGTTTCTTTTCTTGTGATTTCTACATCCCTTTTTAAAGGACTTCTTTCTCAAGTCATTATTGCAGTAATCAAATTTTCATGATGATCCTAGTTGGATCAAGACTTGACTATTACATCCTCCTTTTGTCATGGACGTACCTTCTTTTAAAGTAATTTTTCTGGAATTAGCCTCCAAAAGTAATGAAATAATTTGTCTTACTTGCTTTTAAAAATATTTTTTTCTTTTACACATTCATTTTTTTCTCTAAATTTGTTTTCTGTCCTCAGTTTCAACTTCTCTCTGTTTTAGACAATTCACACCTCTACCTTCTTGTATTGCTGTTGCTGTCATTGTGTATTCCTATTCCCAGCCCTGCACTATTTCTCCTCACCCAGATACCCTTTCACATTCTTTGTTATTAAGCATCCTTTCTGCCCTGCTTTAGAGATAATTCTTGAGTCCTACTACTTAAAATACCTTAGCCAAGAAACAGAAAAGAAGCATTAATACCAAATTCTTGTCAATTCTAGAGATAAACATGTACATAAAAATGCCACAAACTTCAAAATCTATGTAGCTTTAAACTATTTTGTGTTACCCTGTTTTCTTGTCATCTTTTTTTTTTTTAATTGTGCTTGGATTATAAGAATCTCAGCATCCATATATCAATATTAATAGATAAACTTGACTTCAGGAGAGCAAGGACAGAGATTTTTTTCTTGCTTAACATAGGTCCATGAACACAAAGGTTTATTTTCTTTTGTTTGCTGTCTCTATAGGTAGAGTACGTGTTTACAGATAAAACTGGTACACTGACAGAAAATGAGATGCAGTTTCGGGAATGTTCAATTAATGGCATGAAATACCAAGAAATCAATGGTAGACTTGTACCCGAAGGACCAACCCCAGACTCTTCAGAAGGAAACTTACCTTATCTTAGTAGTTTATCCCATCTTAACAACTTATCCCATCTTACAACCAGTTCCTCTTTCAGAACCAGTCCTGAAAATGAAACTGAACTGGTAAGTAATTTTTAAATTAATAAATAAGGGTTTCATATGAAATAATTCTCTGCAGTAGTTGATGAGTTGCAGGAAAAAAAGTTTGTGTCAGTAGAGCAAGGAATATATATTTGAAATTCATATCAGACAGTTTAACTTGTCTGCCTTAGCTCTTTGAGTATTTAAATGGAACATAGTTAAGAAAAGTCCTTACTGCCTTGAAGTGAAGAAGACTTTCTTTGAAAAATAGAGCTTAAACTTATTTAATACTTTTTGAGACCTCACTTCTTCTATAAAAAAGTGTTCCCCTCTACTTGCAATTTGGTTGTACCTCCTAAAAAGATGCTCACATGTCGAAGGGTCCTAAGCAAATGTGACATTTTACTTTTTGAAGGCAGAAACAACCAACCATTATTCAGGCAATCAAGGTTGTAGCACTCTTGTTCTAGATCTTAGAATTTTGCCTCTGGTTTCCTAAATGGTATGTGGAAATGATATTTTTATCATGGATATGAATTACATTTTTACAGATTAAAGAACATGATCTCTTCTTTAAAGCAGTCAGTCTCTGTCACACTGTACAGATTAGCAATGTTCAGACTGACTGTATTGGTGATGGTCCCTGGCAATCCAATCTGGCACCCTCGCAGTTGGAGTACTATGCATCTTCACCAGATGAAAAGGCACTAGTAGAAGCTGCTGCAAGGTAATTTAGTCTGATTTCCAGATCTTCGGAAAAACACCGTTTAAATAAATGCAACAATATTAGAATCATAATTTAAATTTTTCAAACATAAATTCATCATTTTAAGTTGTCAGAATTCATATAGATACATAAAAATAGAAGTACAATTTAAATTTTAAATGACAATTTGAAGTCATTTTATTATCAAGCTTGTATTCTTTTTTTAAGATCTCTTTGAAAGTCTGATTACTATAAAAATCTGTGTAATAGAATTTATGAAAAATGCTTGTGTATATGTTGTACTACATCTACTCTGATCCTTCTAATCCTTCTAGTCCTTAAAAGTATATATGTGTGTATGTGTGTATATATTCTTTTATATATATAAAAGAATATAAGAATATATATAATACATATAAATGTGAATATATAATATATAAATGTTAATATATATAATATATAAATGTATACATAATATATATAAATGTGTGTGTGTCTATATATATATATTTATTTATTTTTTTTTTTGAGATGGAATCTCACTCTGTCACCCAGGCTGGAGTGCAGTGGCGTGATCTCAGCTCAGTGCAGCCTCTGGGGTTCAAGCCATTCTCCTACTCAGACTCCTGAGTAGCTGGGACTACAGTCACAGGGCACCACACCTGGCTAATTTTTGTATTTTTAGTAGAGATTGGGTTTCACCATGTTAGCCAGACTGGTCTTGAACTCCTAAACTCAGGTGATCAACCCGCTTTGGCCTCCCAAAGTACTGGGATAACAGGCATGAGCCATCACTCCTGGCACCAAAGTAGTGATATTAAAAGGAAATATTTTTAAATGCATTTTAAACTTTGATTTTAAATGTTTTTATTCAAGTTAAGCTATAGTGACATTGTGAAATATGCAGTATTATTTCTTAAGTCTCACTTTTTTATCTTTATAATGTCTAGGATTGGTATTGTGTTTATCGGCAATTCTGAAGAAACTATGGAAGTTAAAACACTTGGAAAACTGGAACGGTAATTTTTTTCATATATTAGAATGTTCTCTGTGTTAAGTGTATATAGTATAGAATAGGGATCAGTAAACTGTGGCTCACAGGGCAAATCTGGCCTATTTTCTGTTTTTCTACAGCCCACAAATCACATTACTTTTTTTGTTTGTTTGTTTGTTTGTTTTTGTGACAGAATCTTGCTCTGTCACCCAGGCTGGAGTGCAGTGGCACCATCTTGGCTCACTGCAGCCTCTACCTCCCAGGTTCAAGTGATGCTTGTGCCTCAGCCTCCCAAGTAGCTGGGATTACAGGCATGCACCACTATGCCTGGCTAATTTTTGTATTTTTAGTGGAAATGTTGACCAGTATGATCTGGAACTCCTAGCCTCAAGAGATCCACCTACCTTGGCCACCCAAAGTGCTGCGATTACAGGCATGATCCACCACGCCTGGCCCACATTACATTTTTAAAGGGTTGTTTTAAAAAGAGGTAAAATATGCAACAGAGACCATATATGGCCGCAAAGCCTGAAATATTTACTCTCTGGCCCTTTACAGAAAAAGTTACTGAACTCTGTTCTAGAATGATGTTAACATTATATTGTATCTCATCATAGTTATAACAATAGTCTGCTTGGAATATTTCATCTATATTTTAGCTTAATGATTCTTGAATTTACTTGTATGTTTATTTTTAGATGCTCCTGGGTAATGAGTTTTGTAGGTTTCTACTCGGTGAATAAAGAAAACTTTCCTTATATTTCCTGTGATTTTTATCTTTCATACATGAAGGAACAGCTGTCTGTATCTAGTTTTTCCATTCTTTGATAAATTAGTTCATGCTTAATATACTTACTCCTTTCATGGTTTTAGCAATTCTGATCATATGTCAATTCCAGCTGTGCTTTTCCAAACTATGCTTTTCCATACTAAATAGGGCCAATTCTTTGGCTACTTTTATGTGAGAGTCTGTCTAGCTTATTTCATCAACTTACAAACCATATTCAATCATTGTTTTTCTTTGAGATGTGTGAAGATTTCATATGTAAATCACTGTGTAAGATTCATCTGGAATACTTTAAGCCACACCTCATGTAGCCACACAAATTCTTTTACAGCTCCCTAGAGAGGCACGAGGGAATGGACCCCTGCACACACACACCCAGGTTCACAGTCACTGCTATAATGAGCCTTTGATATTAATGTGTGTTGTGTTTGTCAGGTGTATTAGGACACAAAAAAGCACTGAGAATCAGTTACCTTTTTCAGTCAGAAAAACATGGAGCTGGGCAGATGTGGATTCCAGTCTTTGCTCTGCCACTCACAAGCTTACGTGACTTCAGGCAAATTACTTAATCTTTCTGAGGTTAATAGTCCTCATCTATAAAAATGAGATAAGACCTACTTTCTTGGCTTCTCTTGGTTGTTAAACGATATAAGGTATGTAAAATACATGGCATTTGGTAATTACTCAGTGTCAGTCTCTTCTATTTCTTCCCTGTTTTGTTATTAATGTCTTGTAACCTATCATGAAAATGTGATTAATTCTTGTTCTAAATTAGCCATTTTATCTTATATATAGATTATTTCCATATAGTCACTTCATATTATTTTTAAAAAGTAAAGTTTTTGTCTTTCTTACTTTTCTTTAGGTACAAACTGCTTCATATTCTGGAATTTGATTCAGATCGTAGGAGAATGAGTGTAATTGTTCAGGCACCTTCAGGTAACCAATCTAAACTTTCATGGATTTTTATTTATGTAATATTAAGAGTTTGATAACTTTTTTTTTTTTTTTTTTTTTGTCTGTAGGTGAGAAGTTATTATTTGCTAAAGGAGCTGAGTCATCAATTCTCCCTAAATGTATAGGCGGAGAAATAGAAAAAACCAGAATTCATGTAGATGAATTTGCTTTGGTGAGTGCAAATTTCTATGATTTAAAAAACTCTAAAAGATATATTTATGAAAGATTTCAGACTTTATTTCTTATAATTTATCAAAAATTATGGAAATTCTGCAGTTGTGTTACACTGCATGTTGGCTCCACATTCCTTTTATGAAAACTGACTTTTAACGCTTTTAACGCAAGCTAAAATATATCTTCTCTTCAAACCTACTCTACAGTCAAGGCATTTCTGATTGCAAAGTCTACTCAAACTACACTATTTTAAAAGAGTGTTTATTAAACAAACATAGGGGAATCCTAATGATGTGGAGAAACTGGAACCCTTATACACATATTGCTGGTAGGATTATAAATGGTACAGCCACATTGAAAAATAATTTGGCTAAGTTCCTCAAAAGGTAAACATCGAGTTACTATATGACACAGCAGTTCTACTCCTGGGTGTACACCCAAGACAGCTGAAAACATGTCCACAAAAAAACTTATACACGAATGTTCATAAGCAGCATTATTTCCAATAGCCATAAAAATGGAAAACCCAAATGTCCAACTAATGAGTGGATAGGCAAAATGTGGTATATCCATATAACGGAATATCAGTTGGCTGTTAAGAGGAATGAAGTGCCGATGTACGCTACAACATGGGTGAACCTTGAAAAGATGATGCTGAGTGAAAGAGGCCGTCAGAAAAGGCTATATGTTAATAATACATTTATATGAAATATCCAGAATAGGCAAATTCACAGAGAAAGCTGATTACTGATTGCCAGGGGCTGGAGGAAGGAGAAAAAGGAGAGTACTCGTGGGAGCAATGAGAAAAAGGAGGGTACTCATGGGATTTAGGTAGTGGTGATAATTGCACAACTCTGTGAATATGCGATAAAACACTGATTTGTACTATTTGAGAGGTGAATTTTATGGTATGTGAATTATATCTCTCTTATTTACAAAATTTAAAAATATAGAGGAATCTTATTAAAACAAAGAGCCATCATTCATGTAAATAACAAAATTATTTTACAGTTCTCTCTCAGTCTTAGAACTTCATGGTCTCTCATTTTTGCATTTCTGTAAATGTATACTCCACACTCACCTCTGCTCATCTGCCTTCTTTATCAGTTTATGATTTTTTCCCATTATTTGTTTCCTGATTGTTTATGTTCCAGTTTATCCACCACATTGTAACATCTGTGAGAACAAAGACATGGTTCTGCCTTATCACCATTTTAATAGTTCGTGCTTAGTATTTGTTATAGAATGAATTCGTGTATTAATAACAGATGGTTCTTTATCAACTAAAAGAAGCACATTTATAGGTATGGGTCATTTATAAGTCAGGGAATGGCAGTGTTTAAAAATCTACTAAATAGGGCTGGGCACAGTGGCTCACGCCTATAATCCCAGCACTTTGGGAGGCCAAGGCCGGCAGATCACGAGGTCAGGAGATTGAGACTATCCTGGCTAACAGAGTGAAACCCCACCTGTAGTCCCAGCTACTTGGGAGGCTGAAGCAGGAGAATCGCTTGAACACAGGAGGCAGAAGTTGCAGTGAGCCAAGATCGCACCACTGCACTCCAGCCTGGGCAACAGAGCAAGACTCCGTCTCAAAAAAAAAAAAAAAGGGAAATCTGCTAAATAGTGTCATATAGTATTTTTAAGTCTATGCTTTCCAGGTTGTTGTTAGAATATTTATTATGGGGCTCAGCACAGTGGCTCCCGCCTGTAATCCCAGCACTTTGGGATGCTGAGGCAGTATCACTTGTGGCCAGGAGTTTGAGACCAGCCTGGGCAATGTAGCGAGACCCTGTCTCTACAAAAAAATAAAACATAGCCAGGCATGGTGGCACGTGTCTATAGACCTAGCTACTCAGGAGGCTGCGGCAGCAGGATCACTTGAGCCCAAGAGTTCAAGGCTATAGTAAGCCAAGATCATACCACTGCACCCCAGCCTAAGCAGCAGAGCAAGACCCTGTCTCTAAAAATAAAAAAGAATATTTATTATTGGTTTTCTTGAGGAAAATGCATGTAACAAGGAAAGGAACTTTTATAAGTCTTTAGATTTAGATATCAATTTTCAGAGATGAATACTATAAGAAAACTTTGAGCCTGGTAGAACCAGATAATCAATTCTGATTCCAATCCACTGGTAAAGATATATTCCTTAAAATCATTTATTTGATAAATCTAAAAAGTATTTTTTATAATGACCATTTTATTGACTTGTTTATTTGAAAGGCAAATTTTGTCATACAGTGAACCTTTAGGAAATTATGGTCTCCTTTGCTTTAGAAATTTTATGAAGTAGGTAAAAATGGAATTGTAAGTTAAAACAGGAAGGTAGAACCTGCAGCTGTCTCTCTCTCGACAGCCTTGAAGGTATTAAGAACTTTCTGGCTTTCCATGTAACAGTTTAAAAACCACTAATAGGATAGTCTTTATGATCTATTCTAGGCTCTAATATTCTACAATTCAGTGACCTTAATTATTTTCAGCAACTTTTTATTTTTTATTTTTTATTTTTTTGAGACAGAGTCTCACTCTTTCGCCCAGGCTGGAGTGCAGTGGTGCTCTCTCGGCTCACCTCCCGGGTTCACGCCATTCTCCTGCCTCAGCCTCCTGAGTAGCTGGGACTACAGACGCCCACCACCATGCCCGGCTAATTTTTTGTATTTTTAGTAGAGATGGGGTTTCACCATGTTAGCCAGGATGGTCTCGATCTCCTGACCTCGTGATCCACCCACCTCGGCCTCCCAAAGTGCTGGCATTACAGGCGTGAGCCACTGCGCCTGGTCTATTTTGAGCAACTTTTTACGAAAACATCAGAAGTTGAAAGATGTGTATGTGTCCCATGACTCAGATCAGTAGGGCTTTGTGACACTATTTATTTCCTGTCACTAGGTGATGGTACTTTTTAAATGATTTGTGATTGACTTTTGGTACTTGGTCCTCAGTGTATTTTGATAGTGACTTCTTGATTTTCTGTTAGTTGTTTGTGTTCAATTTTTGTCTTTAATTTTTGTTTGTTTCAGAAAGGGCTAAGAACTCTGTGTATAGCATATAGAAAATTTACATCAAAAGAGTATGAGGAAATAGATAAACGCATATTTGAAGCCAGGACTGCCTTGCAGCAGCGGGAAGAGAAATTAGCAGATGTTTTTCAGTTCATAGAGAAAGACCTGATATTACTTGGAGCCACAGCAGTAGAAGACAGGTAAGTATCAGATAAGTAAACAATATTATTTTTCTCATAAGAATTTTTGTAACCAAGTGTTCTAATATGTGGCATAAATTCTCTTTACTAACATCCTATGATAAATTAATATATTTAAGGTCAAAATAGAGAACTAAATTCTTAATTTTTCCCAGTCAGTATGTACAATTTTTGTTCTAGCCAGATATCTGAAATAGATGAAAGAAACCAGCTCTCTATAGTTTTTTCTTATAGGCTTGAATCTTTAGAATACTCCTCAGTGTGTCATGCAAACACTTGAACCACCTGCTTAATTCTCCAGCCTTCCCTCCTACCACTGTCTCGTTCTGCTTTATGTTTCAACAATACCAAACTGTCTCTGCATGCCATCTATAGCTAAAACTATTCTGTTTTGTGCCTCTGTTGGCCTTCTGCCTGGGTGATTCTTCCCTTCACCATCCCTCTGTGACTACCTATTCATAAAGTATAGCTTAGATATTAGGTCCACTCCAGTAAGACCTTTCCTGACACCTAAGAGGATTAAAAATTCTCTTCTTTGTGAAGTCTCATTGTAGGTAGTTCTGTTGTTGTCTTTGTGGCACTATATTTTAATTATTTGTTTAAAGACTTCTCCTCTGTTAACCTATGAAATCCTTGAAGTCCATTTATTCTTTGTCTTTGTTCCCAGCACCTATCTCAATGTCTGTTTCACAGTTTCTTAAATTTAGCTGAATTCTGAGATTGAATCCTGCAGATTAAGTCTGTTGTTACGTTTACCTCCACCACCTAGACCTTAAGGGTGTTTGCATATTTTTAAAATCTAGGTTTTCATTTACTTTTTGGTTGTCCTTACGAGATTTCTGAGACTCACCTAAAATTAGCTAGACCTGTATTTTCTACAGTCTGATTTTTGAACTATATGAGTGGTTTGAGTTTTTTTAAAATCAAAATAAAAAAAGAAAAATCTTCTTTTTTGAAATGTAGGGCTTCCTAATAAAACAGGAGTTTATGAAGAGCACATAGTTTCATCCTATAAATAGCAACTTTGAAGATACATTCTTAATATATGAAATTGTAGATTTGAATTGGTTGATTTTGTGTTAACCAATCACCAATCTGTTTATTCATGTTTCTTAATGAGAGGAAATTCCAGTTATATTGCTATGTTATGTAATAACATGCATAGGTCAAGGAGTTTAGAATTATCCTTAAATATACTATGTAGTTTAACTTAAAATACAGTCATAAAAGTATTCTCTACTACTAATTTGTTTCTTTTCAGACTACAAGATAAAGTTCGAGAAACTATTGAAGCATTGAGAATGGCTGGTATCAAAGTATGGGTACTTACTGGAGATAAACATGAAACAGCTGTTAGTGTGAGTTTATCATGTGGCCATTTTCATAGAACCATGAACATCCTTGAACTTATAAACCAGAAATCAGACAGCGAATGTGCTGAACAGTTGAGGCAGCTTGCCAGAAGGTAAGAATATAGGTAACTGTATCGTACCTTTCAGGGGTTAGCAAACTATAGTTCCCTTGGCCTGATGATATAGCCCACTGTCTCTGCCTGTTTTTTACAACCTGTCAGCTAAAAGTAGTTTTTACATTTTTTGATAGATGAATAGAAATCCAAGAATAATAATATTTCATGAAGTGAAAAGTATATGAAATTCAAATTCCAGTGTCTATAAAGTTTGATTGGAACACAATCACTTTCATTTGTTTACATATTATCGACGAGTGCTTTTACATTACAGCACCAGAATTGAGTAGTTGCAGCAGAGACTTTACAAAATACTTCTCTTCAACTTCACACTGCTGTTTGATACACTGCAAATCACAGTGAGATACATATAATGTGATAGTGTTTGGAGTGCCATGCATAGCACCATATCGCGACATTTTACCGTTTTTTATTGTCAGTATATGGCCATCATGTCAAAACAAGAAAAGAAAAGTGGACTTTTAACATTACACTTTTTTAAAAAATCACTGTGGATAGGGGATTATTTTATTTTTGAATTAGATGGCAAAGCAATATTTATTATACATTGATATGTTAGCTGTGCTACCTGTTTGAAAAGACATTTTCGAAGATGAATTATAAATCTCATTACATACAGTTCTATCGTATTGAAATGTAAAAATCTCGTTACAGATAGGTATTAACAGATGAACATTTGCAATGTTAACTTTGAACCCCAGTTAAACAAACTATTATCCCTTGCCCAAAAGAAATATTTTCATTCTTCTCATTAGTAAACCTCTCTTATTTAAAAAATTATACTCAATGATCACTACATCCTTAACTTAGTGAAAATTTTGTTGAGATTTTTTCCTCTCCTTCGATAACTACCTATATCCTCAATTTTGCCTCGACCCGCAAAACCTAAAATTGAAATATTTACTCTCTGGCCCATAACAGGAAACATTTGCCAACCCGTGATCTAGTTTACATGACCAAACTGGGAAATTAAGCTACATTTTACTGTTCAAGATTATTTCATAAGAATTTATACTCTAAATTCTGTCTTTTTTGTAAATCCATGCTTTATGGGCATATCAAAGTTTTGCCGCATATGGGGGCAAATGATGCCCCATTTAACACAGTCTAATTTTTCACAGTAAACTAGGGAGGGCTTCATTCGAGTCTCAGGGCTGCTTGCATGTAAGCGTGTTAGGTCTCCTGCAGGTTTCTGTTGTTTGCTGTCTTGTGATACTAATCCAGAAAAATAAACACAGAGACAATACCGTAGTTGTTAATATACATTAGTGTTTTATATTTCTATTTTTTATGCAGGCGTTTATGTGATACCAAAGTCTGGATTTCATCTTTTTAAAACCTATTTAAGAGACATTTTTAAAAGACCATACAAGGTTATTTTGTTGTTGTTGTTGTTGTTTGTTTGTTCGTTTGTTTTCTGAGACAGAGTTTCACTCTTGTTGCCCAAGCTGGAGTGCAGTAGCGCACTGGGTTCACCACAACCTCCGCCTTCAGGATTCAAGTGATTCTCCTGTCTCAGCCTCCTGAGTAGCTGGGATTACAGGCATGCATTACCATGCCTGGCTAATTTTGTATTTTTAGTAGAGACGGAGTTTCTCCGTGTTGGTCAGGCTGGTCTCGAACACCCGACCTCAGGTGATCTGCCTGCCTTAGCCTCCCAGAGTGCTAGGATTATAGGTTATATTATATACAGGCCGCACCCAGCCTGTATAGGGCCTATTTAAAATATCTCTTAAATAGGGTCACACTGGATCTTTGAGTGCAAAAAGACAATTGATTTAGCTAATTATACTACAATTTGGGGACAATGTCAACAACATTGTGGCTCTTTAAACATTTAAATACTGCAATATCATGAACTCCCTAAAACACAGAAATTAATTGCTTAGAATCATTTACTTTATATATGCCTTTTTAAATACTTTTTCTGGCTGGGCACAGTGGCTCGTGCCTGTAATCCCAATACCCTGGGAGGCTGAGGTGGATCGCTTGAGCCCAGGAGTTTGAGATCAGCCTGGTCAATATAACAAGACCCTGTCCCCACAAAAAATTTAAAAATTATCCAGGTGTGTGGGGTGTACCTGTAGTCCCAGTTACTCTGGAAGCTGAGGCAAGAGGATCACTTGAGTCTAGAAGTTCAAGGCTACAGTGAACTGTGGTCTCACCTAAAAAATAAAAATAATTTTTAAAAAATTTTTCTGATTATAAAAATAATAAATATCTACTTAAAAAATGCTGAAAATTGTAAAGCTTATGCAGTGGTTAGTAACATAATAAAGTCATCAGAAGATTATTATTTGTAATGTAGGCTATTTAAGTCTTCTGTGTATAGGTGGTTTTAACGAATATGCTAATCATTAGTATTTGTTTTCTTTTTTGTACAAAAGCTGTATTATAAAACGAAGACTATACTCTTAAAGTGAATTTTAGGCTTGCCATCTTAGTCTGTTTGTGCTGCTGTAACAAAATACCTGAGACTAGGTAATTTATAAAGAACAGAAATTTATTTCTCACAATTCTGAAGGCTGGGAAGTTGAAGATCAAGGCACCAGCAAGTTGTATAGTGAGGGCTGCTCCCTGTTCCAAAATAGCGCCTTATTGCTGCATCCTTCTGAAGGGAGGATTGCTGTGTCCCCACATGGTGGAAGGGATGAAAGGCAAGAGAGGGCAAATCTCTGAAACCTCTTTTATCAGGGCATTAATCCCTTCATGAAGGCAAAGCCACTATGAGTTAATCGCTTCCCGAAAGGCCCCGCTTCATAACAATGGGGGTTAACTCTCCACGTTAATTTTGGAAGGGATACGACATTCAAACCATAGCACTTGCTATGTGAAGTTTATGTTATATTTTAAAGTTACCTTTTGATGGAATACATTTTATGAGATAACCATAAAAGTCAATAGACCTATTCATTCAGACTTTCAGGAAGTATCTATTCTAAAAATCTTGATAAAAATCTTCTGTCGCACAAAGAATTTTGTACCTTTGAAAACTTTAGTATATATATCCATTCCTTCACAAAGATATATTGTCACCTGTCTAGGCATTTGGAACAGAGACATAAGGTGTGTTGTTTACGCCCTGGATACTTACAGTGTGTGGGGAAAACAGAAAAGTAAATACACTGTCATAGTCCTATCCCTACAGAACTGTATCTGAGGCAAGAACAGAAGCTCTGGGAGGACAGAGGAGAGAAGCCTAGCCTAGACTAGGGGTACCAGGGAGAGCTCTGAACAACCAATGACTGTATTGCCTCCTGTGGGGCCAAATGTTCACTGGACAGAGAGTGACACAAAGAAGCAAAGGGGAGGCTGGACACAGTGGCTCATAATCCTGATTTACAGGCACAGTGGCCAATAATCCCAGCACTTTGGGAGGCCAAGCCAGGCAGATCACTTGAGTCTAGAAGTTCAAGACCAGCCTGGGCAACATAGTGAAACCCCATCTCTACAAACAGTACAAAAATTAGACGTGTGTGGTGACACATACTTGTAGTCCCAGCTTCTTGGGAGGCTGAGGTGGGAGGATGGATTGAATCAGGGAGGTTAAGGCTGTAGTGAGTTGTGATCACACCACTGCGCTCCAACCTGGGTGACTGAGTTGCTGTGTCAGAAAAAGAAAGGCAGCAAAGGGGGCAGTGCATGCAGATTCCCAGAGCTGAGAGAGAGGAGGGCATATTCAAGGAAATAATTAGAAAGTATGGCCAGGGAGTGGTATAGATGGGACAGGGTATGAAGAGTAGTGATGCATGAGGGCTACAGAGATGAGTAAATGCTACCTATGTGCCAGAGATGTAGGTGCTTTTCCATATTTCTTAAATATTATTCCATGGATTATAAGATCATAATGTGATTCATGAAGCCTGTCCAGAGGAAAACCTAATTGCATGTGCCTTGGGAACTTTTCCTAGGAAAACTAATCTCTGTCCCACTCTTGACTGCTAGCATTTCTGAGGACTGTTGCTCAGGTAGTGCTTTGGACAGGCTGAAGACATTGGAGGCAGCACAAGTTGCCAAATAAAGTTTGGCCAATAGGGAAGAAAAGTAGTCTATATAGGTGTTGATTTCAGATATTGGAGAATTAGTAATAATGAGAAAAATACATTTTATAAAACTTTATGGTGTAAAGTGAATTGCTTTATAGCTATAGTACAACACAACAGTGATTAGGCATACTATGAAAGACATTGCTTTAACTTATGAAAGTTTCTTATTATAAGATTAAAATCTATCAATGTATGTTTAGCTTTTATACCTTGTGCTTATTTAATAGTCTTCTCACTTCTTATTTTTAATTGGAGGGATAGTTCTCAGCAGAGTCTGCTATTCTGTGAACCTTTGGTGCTTTTTTGTGGTGTATATAGCACAGTGCTGCACTGAGTACTGGTTTTCAACAACATAAAGGAGCTTACATCAAAATGTAAATCTGCGTATACTTCCTTCATCAAGAAAGTGTTATTACCAAAGAATTGCAGGGGGAAGCAGTTTAATAAAATAGTGTGCTTAGTGATTTTGTTGATTTACATTCTGGTGTAGGCTCCTTATCTCTTCCTGGCAACAAATAGTTTGCCCGCCTTCCAGCAGTGAGACTGTACTTGAAGTAGCATATGCCCACATGTGAGGTGTTATCCATCTTCTACCACAGTAATATCTGGCATTACAATCCATCATCAGTTTCCTATTGCAAGACAGTACTCTTCCTTCATTCTTTTCTTTGCTTGTTATGCGTGTGGTGAATCTTGCTCATGGGTTTTCCTGAACATCCTAGATTTCATACAGTTTTTTAAATTTTAATTAGGATTTGCTGAATATTAAAACAATGTTTTGATTTTTGTAAGACTTTTCATACAATTTGGGAGAATATCCTCAGATTATGTATTACAATTCACATTTTAGAAAATATAATTACTGTACCTATATCACTTCGTTGTAAAATTGAATATTAGGCGGGGCACAGTGGCTCACACCTGTAATCCCAGCACTTTGAGAGGCTGAGACAGGCGGATCGCTTGAGGTCAGGAGTTTGAGACCAGCCTGGGCAACATGGTGAAACCCCATCTCTACTAAAATAACAAAATTTAGCCAGTCATGGTGGCTCATGCATATAGTCCCAGATAGGAAGCTGAAGTGAGAGAATCACTTAAGCCCAGGAGGTCAGGGCTGTGGTTAGCTGCTATACTCCAGCCTGGGTGACAGAGCAAGACCCTGTTTCAAAAAAAAAGAAAAATTGAATATTATCTGTTTTACTTATTAGTGACTCAATTCTGCTTAATTTTAAACTTAAGATAATAAAACAGTTTGTTTCCTGACATAACAAGTCTTGTAACAGTAAAGGCTGTGGGTAAAAGATCCATCTTTCAGTAAGAATGTGTTGTTCTATATGAGTGTAAATAATACGGCTTCAAAGTATCTTACAGAGAATATAATTTTTTCTCTTTTAGAATTACAGAGGATCATGTGATTCAGCATGGGCTGGTAGTGGATGGGACCAGCCTATCTCTTGCACTCAGGGAGCATGAAAAATTATTTATGGAAGTTTGCAGAAATTGTTCAGCTGTATTATGCTGTCGTATGGCTCCACTGCAGAAAGCAAAAGTATGTATATGTGTTATAAAAAGTCCCTTAAAGCTATTTAGATATAAACATATTATTTAAAGTTAATGCCTTACATAGTTCCATTTGGTGGTGTGCAATATATGAATCTTGCCAAGAGTCAGTCACATATTGTAAATTTTAACCATGCACATCAGACTTCTGGAATTCTTTGAGTGAGTTTCAGCTATTCATAGTGACCCAGAAAACCTGTGATGAGTAGCAGTTTGTGATCTTGCAGAAATTAAACTGTGATAACTAATGTTTCCCAAGTTAGCTACTTAGCAAGTGAAGGAGCCTAGGAGACATCAGTTACTTGCACCTTTAGATGGTTCTGTTGATCTCCGTTTATTCTTGCATTCTCATGAAGTGATAATTCTCTGTTACTTTTGGCCATAAAGTGATAAATAGAGCTTTAGTGTAAAACGTTGAAAAGCCAATTAACTTGTAATATAAAGCTTATATATAGGAAATATTTAAATTTTAGCTACCTATGTGATTCAAGTGAAAGCCTATATAAACATTTTTTATAATTCTAAATTTGGAATTTGTGGTCTTAGACTATTTTTCACAAATATCCTTTGCAATGCACATCTGAATACTGATTATTTCCCATATAGGTCTAATAAATTAGACATCCAATTTTTTGGGCTTCACGGAATTTTGTTACAGTACCGATATTATGACAATTCATGTACCCCAGTCTGTGGAGACTAAAACAGGAGACCAAACAGAGCAAATACCCAGGTTCTTTATAAAAGTACATTTAAGAATGCCAAAGAAACATTTCTTTTGAGTTCATTGAATTTAATCTTGATTGATTTTTTAAAATTCTTACAATTTTATTGCAAGAGGAAACAATTGTCTTCTTTCATATCAAATGAAAAAATAATTTCTTAAAAACATTTGCCTAACAGTTCAATTAAGTGCAGTCTTTTTTTACACTATGATTAAGCCTTCTAAATATTTAAGCTATATTTAAAAGATTCTTGTTTCTCATCATAAAATCCAAAGATAATTCTGTTTTTGTTATAACATTTCTGAAAGACATTTCTAAAATCTTAGTGGAGACACCCTCAAAAAAATGAACCTCAGTGCATATTATTGTCTAATAGAAAATTAAATATTTATTTCATTAGTGTTCTTACTAGAATCATTTCAGATAAATGATTATATAAATGCAAGAAAATTGAAATTGTGTCATAAATAACTAATTCATTATGTCTTTCAGGTAATAAGACTAATAAAAATATCACCTGAGAAACCTATAACATTGGCTGTTGGTGATGGTGCTAATGACGTAAGCATGATACAAGAAGCCCATGTTGGCATAGGTGATTGATTTTTCCTGAAAAGTTTTTCCTGAACTTTTAAAGTTGGTGGTATTACTTGGTGGTTTTGAATTTTCTTTTTGTAGATTAAAGTGCGGTATCAAATTTGTGAATGAAAACTAAATGCAACATGGTAATAATATAGCACAGTGTGCCCCATCAGAAACTTACTATAATTAAGCCCACTGGTTAGTATATTTTCATTCCAAATTTTAGTTTCAGATTTTAAAGGAAATAAATACCACATTAGTGAATTTTATCTTTGCCAATTCTTTTTCATAATAAAAGTAGCTTTATTTTTACGTGCCATTTTGTACCTTTTAAAGTACTTGCACATGTTATTTTATCCTTTTTAAATTCTAAATTTGTGATTTACATAGTTGCACTTATAGTTCTTGTTTTAGAATCTTACTGTTAACTCCGTTTGTTTGTGAATCTAAAGATCCTACAGTCCTTTCTAAAGATAATTATAAAGACAGGAAATTGCACCAAACTGCAATAAAAATATAAAATCTCAAGTAGTTTTCTCATTTTAATAACCTTTATCCTTATTTTTTTCTATTTTTGCCTAAAACTTTTATTAGATTCAGACTGCTAGTATCATTTCATTATATTTAATGTATTAATCCTTTCCTTTTTAGCCATATAATCTTATTGTAGAAATACAGAGCAAAATGAAAAGTATGGGCATGGTATTTTTTATGGAAGGATAAAATTTGAGAGTTAAGCTAATTCCTGTTCTGGAATAGTCTCTATAATGTGCTGAATGGGTAGTTATCAGGTCTGATATTTTCCGTGTGCCTCTCAAATCAACTCCTTCCTCTTTCAGATAATTAACTCTTCATTTTGAAAACCTAATTGTCCTTCTAGTTTGTATACCGTTATTTTCTGTAAATCTTCATAGCAATTTGATGATAACTTCCTATACCATACATTTAAAGCCATAAAAAACTACAGTATTTATAACAGTTTGATTCTGTAATGACAACAGGCAGACCAGTGACTAGAATACATTCAAGCATCTGGAAGTTTAGAATATAACAAAGGAGATATTTCATATAAGTAGGAAACCAAATTATTTAGTAAAAAAATAAATGGATAAAACTGATTAGTGATTGGAAAAAAAGAAAAGTTGAGTCTCTTGCTATTACTTATAAAAAACAAATTCAAGATGGATTAGGATTTAAATAACTTACAAAGACCCTAAAAAGTAATAGAAGAAAATTTAATGAATAATTCTGTTATTTGAGGTGTGGAAGAATCTTTTGAGGACAGCACCAAAGCAAGGAACTATAGTTAACTATAGGGAAAAGATCATGCAGAGGTAAAAGCTCCCAAAACAAATTTTAAAAACAAAGGACAAACTAGTAAAGAATATTTGTAAAATAGATGGCAAAGTTTTAATAATCCTGGTCTACAAAGTATTAACAAATTAATGAGAATAAGAAAAACATTCCAGTAGAAATAATGCAGAAGGATGTGAGCAATCAATTGTCACAAAAGGAGAAATCTAAAAAGAATACTAAATGTATGAAAAAAAAGTTTAGTTTCTCTAACATTCCGAGGAATGGAAGTTAAAATTTCCTATCAGATTGACATCCATTATAAACATTGATAAACCTGGAGTTGGTAAAGGTATAGATTAACAAATGGTCTTATACAATGTTAGTGGGAACATAAATTGGTATGCCCTGCATTATTATTCAAAACAAAATTTTAAATGTATGCCTATTGACATTGCAATTATGCATGCAGGAATTTCTTGTAGGAAAAAAAATTGAGCATGTTGATAAAGATATACATTACAAGTATACATTTTAAGCAGTGTCCGTAGTCTGTTAAGCAACAAAAACAAGTTGTAAAACAATCCTTTTTTTTTTTTTGGTATAGAGCTTCGCTCTTATTTCCCAAGCTGGAGTGCAATAGCCCAATCTTGGCTCATGGCACCTCTATCTCCTGGATTCAAGCGATTCTCTGGCCTCAGTCTCCTAAGTAGCTGGGATTACAGGTGCCCACTACCATGCCCAACTAATTTTTGTATTTTTGTAGAGATGGGGTTTCACCATTTTGGCCAGGCTTGTCTTGAACTCCTGACCTCAGGTGATCCACCTGCCTTGGCCTCCCAAAGTGCTGGGATCCTACAGACTTGAGCCACCGCACCCAGCCTGAGCCACATTTTTATAGATGTTTTTGTATGTATGAAATACATACACACACAGACATGAAATAAGCAGAAAGAAAATTTCTAAAAGAATGCAGACTAAAAACGGGTTTTCTCTAGGGATTATGAATACAGTTTTTTTTTTCGTTGCTTATACATTTTGGAACACTTTCATCCTTTTGTGACAAAAGTTTTAGTTTTGAAAAATAATTTTTAAAAGTTGCTTCTAGATTGAAAAATACCAACTGGGCAATGACTCTTCTTCTCTTTTGAAACCTTAAGGAATATTGTAACCATTAAAAAAGTATTCATATTTGTCAGATTAAATGATGCACTGATTTCAAATGATATTGTACATTTTTAAAAATTTATTTTAAATTCACATTTTCCTTTTAAAAAGCACACTTTGACTTATTCATGAAAGTGTTAAACATGCTTATTTTGCTAATCTCAAATGACTCAATTTGAATATTTTTTATATTCATTGAAAATAGTGAAGTTAAATATTTAAGTATTTTACAGCATTCTGTCCATCAGAAGTCTGTTACCCAGTACTTGTGCTAATTAGTGTAATATTGATGTTCCTGCTAAATCCTTAACTTTCACTATTACTTTTTATATTGTATTTTATCTTTTTATATTCTAATTCTTTGGAAATTGGTGTTATGTATCTGATAAATATCGTAGCTTTATATTAATTACATATTCAGGTAGAACAACCTTTTGGATATCTGTTGTATATTAGAATTTAAAGTTCCTAAGTGCATGTTCAACTAATATAAATATTTGCAGATTTATCATGAAAATTACACTTACCGGTTACCAGTGAACACATCTTTTGTCCCTTTTATTATAGGAATCATGGGTAAAGAAGGAAGACAGGCTGCAAGAAACAGTGACTATGCAATAGCCAGATTTAAATTCCTCTCCAAATTGCTTTTTGTTCATGGTCATTTTTATTATATTAGAATAGCTACCCTTGTACAGTATTTTTTTTATAAGGTGAGTTTCATGTATTTAGAACCAATTATTGATACAGTAATATGAAGTTTCGATTTAAGGAATGTTATAACTGTATACGTTTTTCTTTAAAATAGTTTCAATAAGTAAAAATAACAGTATTTTGTCATGAATCTATTCTATACTGACAGAAAGCAAATCAGTGGTTGCCTGTGGCCCACAGGTTCCGTGCAAATTGGAACACAGTACATTTGATATCTTTAAAGTTATTTTGTCCTGAACCAGCAATAAGTTTTGACACCAATATAATGGTTTCAAGTAGAGGTTTTTAACCTTTTTTATGCCATAAATGATCCTTTAGTAGTCTAGTGAAATGTGTGAGCTCCTCAATATAGAGATTTTATGTGCATAAAGTAAAATACATAGGGTTACAAAGAAAAAAATTATGTTGAAATACTGTCCTACCTTTGGGTCCTTTTGTATAAGGTGGGAGTCTGTAGAAAACCCACATTAAGAGTCCCTGTTACCGATATATTTAATAACACCAGAGTGTACTATGTTGCATATATTTCTATAATTGATAGCTACAATCCAGTGATAGAACATATGTAGATTGCATATTGCTCTAAGATGATGATGGCAGTTTTTTTCTAACTTATTTTTCTAGCTTTTACTTGTAATATGAGTATATTGAGATGGGAAGAAGTTTTGATAGTTTGATTTATTGTGTGTTTTAAACATTTTTGTGTTGTAAAGATATCATAGCCCTAAAGTTTAAGTAAGTCTTACTATTATGAAAAGTATTGAGTAATAGTTTGAAGGTTGTAAATTCAAAATTATAGTATTGCTTGGCAATGAGAGGAGTCAAGGGTTTTTTCATTCTGATATCTGCACTGTTGCTTATAATGTTTTTAGACATTTTTTGATAAAATGGGAATCCTGCATTCGTGTTATATATAGACAAGTCCTTATCCTTTACTTACCATACCAACTGAGATTGGTTTTGGATACTTTAAAGCCATTATTTTTAATTTTTTTTTGTCTTTTAGACCTAAATATTTTAATTATTTTCCATTTAATCTTGTTTTTCAGAATGTGTGCTTTATCACACCCCAGTTTTTGTATCAGTTCTACTGTTTGTTTTCTCAACAAGTAAGTAAATAGAAACTTGTGTTTTGTGTTTTGTCCTTTTAGAGTAAGGTATTTATGTTCAGACTTTGATAGATGTTTGAAGGGACTTTTTTCATTTTTCTTAGTCCTGCAGGGAACCAGACAAAACTGTTTAGTATATTTAACCAGCATAATATTCATAATATTTATTTATTCTGGTTTTCAGTTTGAGGTGAGTGTTAATACTAAAATATAATTCTGGATGTTTTTAAAAATAGATAATAACCCTTAACAGCTTATGAGAGAATTTTGATAACTTATTTGTGATATTCCTGTAAAATCCAAATCAAACCAGGCCAGATAACTTGGAGGTTCACCTCATTTTTATTTTGGTTCGAAATGTCTTAGATTTGGAAGGAGCAATAGTGATTTAGTCCAGGGATGACGTATAGGTTTTATCTCAGAAACTCCCTTTAAATAATTGATGGGGCACCTAGAGTATATTGAAAAGGCTTCTAAAGCCGCAGGCTCAGAGGGAAAATGTAATTCGTTAGCAGTAGTTGTAATGGGCACAGGGTAGGTCTTTGTTTGCATGCATGTCACATATTTACCAGTCCTGATCTACTTTGTTTTAATTTCTAGAAAAGAAAAATGAAATCCACAGAAATTAACTTGCCTTGCTAACTTAATGACTAAACTATGACTTTGACCTACTGCTTCTGACTAATGTGGCAGGCACCCTTTTCACGTACCATACTATACATCTCAAATTGATCAAGACATTAGTTCTAATTTATTGAAAAAAACAAGAGCTTTATTATCTTAGGTTTTTCATGAGTTTTTCCTATTCTTAATTGCTGTTTTATCCTGTTTACAACCTGTAACTCTAAATTCCAAATATTTGCTTGGGCATCGATTACCAGTAAAAGTTTGTTTACCTGAATGAACTAAAGAATGTGGTAAGACAATATGACAAGGAAAACTGACCTATTTTGATTAGGTTTTCTGGAGGGTTTATAGTGTAATTTGGGAGGCAGTATTAATAACAATAAAAACAATATGTAAAGCATAGGCAGAGTGCTGAGTGATTAGTACCAACAGTGGTACCTGTGACTGTTTAGAGGAGCAGGATATTGTTAAGGACTTAAGCCATTGTGCAGAGTTTCATGGAAGAAGATAGTCTTGTTCAGTGCCTTAAAGGAAGGGTAGGATGTAGAAAGGGAGACAAAGCCATGAAAGGTAAACTATATGTGTTGCATGTGGAACAAGTAGTAAGATGCCTGGAATACATGGAGAAGAATTATATAAAATTACTTCACAGTGATCAAATTGTCGAGAATCTTGAAATGTTAATCTAACTCACTATAATTCCAGAAGCACCTGATATAGCAAAATATTCCAGTTCTCACAAAGAGTATCAACCTGGGAACATTATATGTTTATGTCAATATTAAAAACAAATTAGAATTATTTAATTGGAGTTACTAAAATGGATTTTAGTATAAATTTTTAAAACTGTTTAATTTTGTTTTTAATATGCATAGTTGTGATATATGCATAATAGTAATGCATAATTCAGAATCTCAACATTCCTACCAATTTCTCTTTCTAGACGTTGTATGATGGCGTGTACCTGACTTTATACAATATTTGTTTTACTTCCCTACCTATTCTGATATATAGTCTTTTGGAACAGCATGTAGACCCTCATGTGTTACAAAATAAGCCTACTCTCTATCGGTAAGTATTTTCTGGTATTAAATGGCCTTCTCAGTTTTTTTAAGTAAAAAATAAGCAGATTTATTTATGTCTTGGTGATTAATGCTTTCCTAAGGAAAGTTCTTCAGTTGTGGTATGATTTACAGTTGTTGAATATCAGAGAAAAAAGGTTTCTTTCAAAGACAAAATTTGAATTAATTTTTCCAGTGTTTTTTAAGAATGAGCACTTTCATCCTGGGAATGCACCGGGCAGTTGTGTAATTTGCACTTACTGTTGCAACCAGTAACATTCTATTTCATGTGCACAAAAGAAGTTATTCATAATTTATAATCTCTAGAATTCCTAAAAGTTAGTGTTTTTTCTACTGTTAGCAAAATTTATGTAATAATTAGTGCAAAATCCAGAGGTGAGGACATTAATTCCCACCCCAGATTCTCTGCTTTATTCCTGCTTCCCCAGAACCAAGTAATCACAGAGATGTGACTGGGACCTGTTCCTCAGTACCAGCTATGGTATTCGCCATAAGCTATTACAGAGGTAGCTATTGAAGTATCACTTATAGAGGCATCTCATTATCTAGATTTGGATTCATTGACTTTGATTCCTCAGGTTATCTAGGACAGGGCTTGACCTAAGATTGGCATAGATTGTTCTTCCCGTAATAGCTATTATTAGAAGGGAAGTTAGGAGCATCAGTGCTGAACCTAACTCAGATAACCTCACTAAAAAGAGACCATTATGGCAGAGTGACTGAATGTTAACAGAAGAATATAATAACAGGTAAATCAGCTTTTCAAAATTAAAGTGAAGTGTTATGCCTATATCATAATTCTTTTTTTCTTTTTTGAGACAGGATCTTGCTATGTCACCCAGGCTGAAGTGCAGTAGCAAGATCGTAGCTCACTGCAGCCTCAGTCTCCCAGGCTCAAGCAATCCTCCTGTCTTAACCTCTGGAGTAACTGGGATTACAGGCACACATCACCATGCCTGGCTAATTTTTTAAAATTTTTATTTATTAATTTTAGTAGAGACAAGGTTTTGCTGTGTTGCCCGGGCTGGTCTCAAACTCCTAGTCTCAGGTGACCCTCCTGCCTTGGCCTCCCAAAGTGTTGGGATTACAGGCATGAGCCACCGTGCCCAGCCTATCATATTTCTTTTTTTTTTTTTTCCTTTTGAGACGGAGTCTCGCTCTGTCACTAGGCTGAGTGCAGTGGCGTGATCTGGGCTCACTGCAACCTCTGCCTCCCGGGTTGAAGCGAGTCTCCTGCCTCAGCCTCCCAAGTAGCTGAGACTACAGGTGTGTGCCACCACGCCCAACTAAATTTTGTATTTTTAGTAAAGATGGGATTTCACCATGTTGGCCAGGATGGTCTTGATCTCTTAACCTCGTGGTCCACCTGCCTTGACCTCCCAAAGTGCTGGGATTACAGGCATGAGCCATTGTGCCAAGTCTTCATATCTCTTTATCAAATGAAGAAATGTATTTGAATATATTATGTGAACTATAAGCTATTAAACAGATGTATGATATTATAAGTAGTGGTTTGTAAATTTGGATTTACTTATTCTTTGTGCTAATATTTTCAAACAATTTTAAATTTAAAATACCTTGTTTTTTAGTTATCAAATTATAGTAATTGTTTAGTAGGCAAATAATAAATGATACCTAATGTGTTTCTTTTTCTCTTCTTCTTTTTAACAGAGACATTAGTAAAAACCGCCTCTTAAGTATTAAAACATTTCTTTATTGGACCATCCTGGGTTTCAGTCATGCCTTTATTTTCTTTTTTGGCTCCTATTTACTAATAGGGAAAGATACATCTCTGCTTGGAAATGGCCAGGTAAAGTATATAGTTTTTTTAAAGAATGGTTGTTAAATTTCATGGGTTTTTTATAACTTTTGTCATAAAGTAACATTTAAATTATAGAACTTCAAGTATTAAAATGCAAATATAAAAAGATTTAAATTTAGGGGGTTAAATAATAAAGTTTCATACAAATGAAAATTGACAGGCAATACAGTGTAATCTCAAAATGAAACTCAAGTTACTAGACAATTTTACTATTCAAAAATTAGCTCACACAGGGGATATGTTATTGCCCCTGCATGCTGTTCACCTTAGTATTGTGTTTTATTGATAGCTGCCATTTATTTGGTACTTACTTTTGTGCTAAGTACTTTATATGCTCTATCTCCATTAGTCCTCCCAATAATCTTATTAGACTGGTATTATTACTCCCATTTTTCAGATGAGAAATGAAGACTTAGTGTTTGTTTGCTTTTAATTGCATTGTTTTTTGCCTAGGAAATGCTACCATACTCTTCATTGCACACTCACAATTCTCAATAGATGTCATAACTTACTGTTTAATTTGGCCACTTTTCTGAAGTATGAAATTAGGGAAGAGTGTGTTTTCGACAGTACACTGTTACACTGTGTTCTCATTGGAGTGCTCATGTTGGGAGACTCTTGGCAGAGCTAGACCTCTCTTCCAAGGCTTAGCTAAATGGATTAGGAAGAAAAGAAATGACAGCAGTTGTAGGGACTCTGGTGGACTGGAAATGGTTGTCACTTTTAGTTTCCCTTTTCCATTCCCACCACTTAAGTGTTGCAAAATACGTTTGGAGATACAGACATACAGAATTTGAAATTGGAACACTCTAAAGTTTTACCTGCTCAACAGATCTTTATTGAAGACAAGCCATTCCCAAGTACTATACTAGGCTCTGGTAAGTAACTTGGTCTTGAAAAGGATACAGAAAATGAGCAAGTAAACTAATAACAAAATACACCAGTGTAATAAAGGAAATGGATTTCAAATGTAGAGGCCTTAACTCTGCAAAATCCCTTTATATTGTAGAATAGGGACATAAATATAATTGCCAGTTCACTTTTGAGGACATATTTAGACTGATGTGGATGAAAATATGAATCTTGTAGCATAAAGGTTACAGCACTTTCCAAATAATAACTACTTTTTGTTGAGTTTTTTTCTCTGTGCCTGGTACATTATATGCCTTTGCTCTTTAAATCATAACTCTGTATGAGAAAAATATCATTATTAATTTTGCATGTTAGAAAATTAACCTCAGAGAGGTTAAGAAACTTGCCTAAGTTCACACAGTAAGCAAATTACAGTAATAGAATTCAGACTCAGATCTATGTGACTTTAAAACCTACATGCTTAGTCATGATTCTCAATTCTTTTGAGAAACAACTGTTAACCTGGTGCCCTTCTGCACAGTCTTACCATCAGTGCAATTGCCATCAAATATATAGACATATGAATAAGTATGTACACTTCCACCTTAAATAGTGGAGTGAAAACCAGAGAAAATTAAGACGGGAGGAGAGTTAAGAAGAAGGAAATTTGGGTCTTCATCATTGGATGAAAAGGACATTAAAGATATCTTATATTGCTAGTCACTACTTTTTTTAATTTTTAAAAGTAATAGGTACCCATTGTGATAAGTTTGAAGTTTGTAGGAAAAAGTATAAAGAAAATAAATCACCTGGTGGCCCTCTACCCAGATATTATTACTTTGTTATTTTCACATATTTGTTTCAATTCTTCCTTTTTGCTATTTTCATTAACCTCATAATTTGTATCCCTTCTTAACATTGTAGCCTAAGTGATTTTGTATGTTATTAAAAATGCTTCAAGAACATTTTTCATGATTACATAATACTCTATTACATTGTCATAATTTAAGTATTCCCTTAATTTGAGAATTTGTTTCTAATTTTTAGTAACTTTTTAAAATGAAATCTTGAACATTCTTTGTACAAAAGATAAAACCTTAGTGAAGGATAAATTGTTATTGGCCATTAGTATGAAAGCTTTTTTCTCTTTACTGTCTATTGAAATTAATCTGCCACTCCCTACCCCCAATACTAGGTACAGTAATAAAGAAGCACACATTAGAATCAGAATTGGATTCATATCCTGGCATCTGTAGCTATCGTTTGAGTGATTTGGGATGAGTTAACCTCTCTCAGACTCAGTTTTTTCACCTGTAAAAAGGCACATAATCCTCACCTTATAGATTTGCTGTGAGGATTAAATGACATATTATTTGTAGAGCATTAAGCATAGTGGCTAGCATATAGAAGTATTCACTACATCTTAGCAGTGTTCATTGTTATTTTTACTATTAAATCATTATATTGGAAGATCCTGTCCTACTCAATACCACCCGGTCTAATTCTCCCAGAAACTCTCTCTTAACTGTGAAAATCACCTTGCTGGCTCTCAGAATGCGCCATGCTACTCTCTAATTCTAAGACATTGCTTATGTTCCCTCTCTAGAATGCTCATGCTTCCTTTTCCCCAAGACTCTCTCACTACCACCTGTTCTTCACAGTTGAGCCCACAGACCCCTTTCCTTTTGGTCCAGCTCCCTCTTATGTGTCCCTGTGCTAAAAATCCTGAGAGGAGTGACTAGAGACAAAGATGAAGTCATTGCAAACAAGTGATCCTGGGAGAGGAGCAGGAGGAAGAGTTGCAATAGTTTGGGTTTAAGGGCAGAACGATTCAGAGAAAGTTAAGACTTTATCCCTTTTTTTTTTTTTTTTGTATTAGGGTGTAGCAATTTTATATTAATTTTCAACAAATACTTTTGAAGTATTCACTAGTTCTTAATTTCAGTTTAGCTTAGGAAAGAACTAGTCATTCTTCATGTATTTATCTCACATCTTTTTAACAGGCCTTTCTTTCCCTTAGTAAAGTATAAGTCTTGATCAGTTTTCTCTAAGAAGGCTCTTTACCTTCAGATCACTATAAAAAAGATACTCCTTTACTATCACTCCTTAATGAGTTGTCAGAGAACAAAAATATGTTAATAAGAAGGCTGAACTAGTGACTAATTTTTAGCTTTGTTTTTCTTCCTAAATAGTAGACGAGTTAAACTCTCACGGCTGGGCATGGCGGCTCATGCCTGTAATCTCAGCACTTTGGGAGGCCGAGGCGGGCAGGTCACCTGAGGTCGGGAGTTCAAGACCAGCCTGACCAACATGGAGAAACCCCGTCTCTCCTAAAAATACAAAATTAGCCGGGAGTGGTGACACACGCCTGTAATCCCAGCTACCAGGGAGGCTGAGGCAGAAGAATCACTTGAACCTGGGAGGCGGAGGTTGCTGTGAGCCGAGATCGGGCCACTGCACTCCATCCTGGGCAAAAAGAGCGAAACTCCGTCTCAAAAGAAAAAAAACAGACTCTCACATAAAATTTGCCTAGCCCTTATCCAAGCTTAAAGTAGTCCCAGTATTTAAATATAAGTATTAGTTAAAAAGTGGGACTTGTCTTAACAATACAGTAGTACCATCTTACCATGGACATTTGTCGAGAAGTCATAGATTAGTAATTTATTGAATATATTGAGTAATCTTTTCATTTTATTTTTTAAAGTTAAAAATAAGCTTAAGATTTCTTGTTTGTTTAGTTTTTTATTTATTTATTTATTTACATGATTAAGTTCTTTAGTGGTGATTTCTGAGATTTTGGTGCACCCGTCACCCAAGCAGTGTACATTGTACCCAGTGTGTAGTATTTTATTCCTTACCCCCTCCCACCCTTTTCCCCGAGCCCCGAAAGTTCATTGTCTCATTCATATGCCTTTGCGTCCCCATTGAGAACACAAGATGTTTGGTCTTCTATTCCTGAGTTACTTCACTTAGAATAATGGTCTCCAATTCCATCCAGATTCCTGCGAACGCCATGATTTCATTCCTTTTTATGACTGAGTAGTATTCCATGGTATATACATATACCATATTTTCTTTATCCACTCCTTAACCAATGGCCAGTTGGGCTGGTTCCCTATTTTTGCAATTGCAAATTGGGCTGCTATAAACATGGGGATGCAAGTATCTTTTCTGTATAATGACTTCTTTTCCTCTGGGTAGAAGTAATAGAGAGCGTGGGATTGCTGGATGAAATGGTAGTTCTACTTTCAGTTCTTTAAGGAATCTCCACACTTTTTTCCATAGTGGTTATACTAGTTTATATTCCCACCAACAGTGTAAAAGTGTTCCCTTTTCACCACGTCCACACCAACATCTATTATTTTTCTATTTTTTTATTATGACCATTCTTGCAGGAGTAAGGTGGTATCACATTGTGGTTTTGATTTGGATTTCCCAGATAGTGATGTTAAGCATTTTCTCATGTTCCTTGGTCATTTGTATATCTTCTTTTGAGAATTGTCCATTCATGTCCTTAGGCCCCTTTTTGATGAGATTGTCTTTTTCTTGCTGATCCTTTTGAGTTGCCTGTAGATTCTGGATATTAGTCCTTTGTCAGAAGTATAGATTGCAAAGATTTTCTCCCACTCTGCTTGTCTGGTTACTCTGCTGATTATTTCTTTAGCAGTGCAGAAGCTTTTTAGGTTAATTAAGTCCCATCTATTTATCTTTGTTTTTGTGAGCCTAAGACTTTAAATTCTGTCTGTAATCTGGGTCAACTTTTTTGTAATTGTTTTTAAACAGGGCTTCATAGAATACTATAGGTTTATGTTTGATAGTGGTAGATTTTTACTGTCCTGCTACCTTAAATTTTTAAGTAAATTTACCATTAAAGAAATGTACAATCATCATTTCTTACAATTTTGAAAAAGGTAAAATTATGTTATAAAATACTTATAAGAGATTTTGATGTAACTTTAAAAATTTTAAGTCCCTCCAAAATATACCATTTAGAAAAACTTAAATCATTTTTAAAACAGCTTTATTAAGGTATAATTGACATATAATAAACTACACATATTTAAAATGTACAATTTGATAGTTCTTTTTACCATCGTCACCATTTTTAAATGTACAGTTCAGTAGTGTTAAGAGTA